GCTCATGCACTTTAAGGCTCTTGGCGGACCCCGCCATGAGTCTGGCACTGCTCTGCACTGACCAGACAGCCCTGATGGCACAGGAGCTCAGCTTCACCCAGGACGAGGTGTCTTTTCTCATCTAAAGGGTGTGTTGTTATTAAAAAAAAAAAAAAAAAAAAAAAAAAGATAAAGAATAAAAGTCCATTCAAATGACCAAGCATGGTGAGGGAACTTCCTGCTAAAAAGCAATGATTTACACTCTGGGGAAGATAATGAATTTTTCTGAAGGAGGCGAAAATTAGCCTCTGCTACCTGTCTAAGCAAACATGCAGAAGGTGGGAGGAATCTTCTAGCATAAGCCCACTTGGACTAGCCCATCCACTCAGACAGTGATGTATTATGGACTCATCACTGAAAGTCAGATTTCCTAATTATGACACAAACAGCATTGCTTTCTGGAGTATAAGTTGGGGTCTTGCAAAACATGAACCTTCAGTTAAACAGGAGCTTTCACACTGCGAGACTGAGAAAGACTTGCAGAAAGTGGGCTGCACAGACCGCCTGTGGAGAGAAGGCGAGTCGGCGTCACGCACGGGCGTACACGGGGCACAGTTTACCTTTCCGTGGGATCGCCCCGGGCTTCCCAAACACGGCATTCATCCATCCTTTAATGAACCTATTGGTTAGAGACTGTGGCAACTGGCAGGAGGGGCCGAATGGGCAAGAGCCATCCTGACACCAAGCACTGCGGCTGACATTCTGGCCGAGGCCTGCGCGGCCCAGGTGGACCCCGAACACAGGCGGCCACAGTCTTCCGTCCTTGCAGCGGAGCGGTGAGTTAAGTGCAGAGTCTTATCACGCTTTGTAAGGTGAGATTCTTTGAGGTTTTGGTTTATCATGTCACTTGGGGGAAGTTTTTATCACTTTTTTCTCATTTTGAAAGGCCTGAGATGTCTTTCTGGCAAAATTTTGAACAGTATCTCTCCCGCCTCTTGCTAGTCTTGAAAGAAACTTATTATCTTGAAAGTATTTTGCCTTCCGAAGGATATCTCCTCTGAGAGCAGCGTTTTCTGGTCTGGGAACGAAGCTATAAAATGAAAGAGGAGAACATGAGAGGAGATAAATAACATTTCAACTTCAATAAAGGATATCAATCCATCTTTCTAAATGAATTGTATTCATTCTTTGTAACATCTTAGGGTAATTCTATTAAGATCATTAAACTGGGGATTTATACTGGGCTAAGAAGCTGAAGAGCAAAACATCTCCTCAAAGTATGCATAAGCAGGACTTCAACAGCAGTTTCTTCATGTTCTGCCCAGCATTTCATATGGTTGGCTTCTTTTGGTTATTTGGGCTTGGGTTCAAAGGGCACCTCCTTCGAGACCAACATTCCGATAGTTTACTCAATCCCACTTTACTCTCCCCACTCCCAGGCAGAAAGTAGGTTTCATAGACCAGATTCAGTCACCACAGAAATCCCAGGAACTTAGAAGACAGTACATGTCTAAAATGTTTGTCTAATGAAAGTACAAATGAATGCTCCTCCTTTCTTCCCTCCCTGCCTTTCTTCCTTCCATCTATCCATCCACCCATCCATCTGTCCAAGTGTTTACAACCTGCCCTATAGATGGTGCTGTGTTGGGTACAGTGAGAGCCACCAGCCTGGTAGACACACAAAGGGTGCGAGTCGCGAGAACTGGAGGACTCTAGAAGGTCTAGAATGCCAGACTCAGAAAAATCAGGACGCCATCGATGCCAAGTACCTAGAAGTTGTAGCCTGTCCAATAAAACTTTCTGTGCTGGTAGAAATGTTCTATAATCTTCACTGGCCAATATGGCAGCCACGAGCTGTGACTGTGGCACACTCAGTAATGTGATTACTGTGACCAAAGAACTGATTTGAAGTTTCATTAACTTGAAAGCCAGTGGCTACTGCATTATACAGTCAGGAAATGAGTAACTTCAGGCAAACAACTGTAGGGGGAGGTGGTCTGAGGGCTCTGGGTGCCCAAACTTATATTCTAACTCCTGTACTTACCAGCTGACCAGCTCTACACAAATCACGTTAGAGTGACCCTTGTTACTTCGGGTGTGAAAATGGGGATAGAAACAACTTATGTTTTGAGCAACAGCTGAAATCCCCTACACTTGTTCCCAACTTGGTGTTCTGTTAGTTACAGGTGAGGAAATTGAGGTGCATACAAGGGAGGTCAGGGACAAGAGACTGCAGCCCAACTCCTCTGATACGAAGTTCTTTGCTATTTCCACTTTACTAGGTTTTTATTTCAGGACACCATGAATAGTACTGAGATTACTTCCCCTGGGGTTGCCTGGGCAGCTAAGAAGGTGGGAGGACCTGGGCACACAAGACTGCATAGTCAGAGAAAGATTGGAAGAGTGCCTGGAGGCATGAGAAGATGTTTATCAACACTGATAAGCCTCAGGAGCTGAACTGTGGTCAAAGGAAGATGTTAGAAAATTCCAAAACAGACCAAGAGAACAGGCAACATTCACCATGACCTGCACTTTCACCAGCTATGACTCAGATGGTTCTCACCAAGACATCACTATGTACAAACTAAGTAAAGTGAAAGATACAGAAAATTTAAAATTTCGATTGTCTGTCACACACCACAGACAGTTACACAGATCCTCCCTGAACCACAATGCCTCAAAACCCCCCTCACTCCTTACCCCCCATTTTTGCTCTTCGCTGTATTATTTCTAGACTATTATGATCCAAAGTTCTCTGAAGTCATAGTTGTATGCCCAGGCCGAGTGGCTCCAATGTCCATGGGAGTCCATTCTCCCACGTTGGGAACACCCCTTCATGAAGGCCCGAGGTTATTGTTATACGTCCTCCACTCCCTTCTCCATGCTGGGGCCCATCAGTGGTGAGCTTGGCTATAAAGGTTCTCGTCTTGTGTGCTAAACTGGCAGCCTCTTCGCCAGCAGGCCCTGCCTGCCCTTTCCTTCACAACATCCCTGAAATGTCTTTGTTCTCCAAAGACTGGAACATATTAAATATAACTTCTGAATTCGCCCCCCCCCCAACACTGCAGTGTGCACGGGCATCTGTATTGGCAAGAATGACTTGATGAGTTGGGAGTCATCAACTTCCTCTCCTTCGGATTCAAGCACTTTGCAGTTTGGTAACTCCAATAGGTAGTCAAGATGAAGACACAGGGATAAAACATTCCTTCTGCCATTTGTGCCTGGCTCCAGGGAAGATGTGGCGTTGAGACAAAGTGAGATGGGTGGACTAGTTACAGATTTCGGTTCTCGGCGGTCAGATTCTTCCATGGCTGTGGCTGATCCGGCGTCGGCCATGCCGAGTTTCCGAGGTAACTACAGGTACACAGCGTGGTAGGAAACGCTGACAAGATGCTTCTGCTTCCAGAATTCTTTTTATCCTAACATGTTTTGTGTGTCCAGAAAACGTACTTTGGAACACAGAATTGCAACAGATGCATCGTTCATATGGCATGGGTAACTGTCCATTTTTACAATTTGATTGCTCTGCTTTGGGCTGTCACCACTTTAAAACCTGGCACGGGGCTTCCCGGCCTGGATGAAGCGAGTGCAGGCGGCTGTCTTAGTGTCTCCAAGTGGGTCTGCCTGCTGAGAGACAGGTGGCCTGCAGCCTCACCTCCCTTGGCCATCTGTCACCTTGGTGGCCTCTAACTTGGCTCAGTGTTGTTTCTTTTCTATCTAGTAAGAACGAGCTTCTTTCTACCTGTATTTCTTCAGATTCCACACTGGGGCCTGCTTTTTACGCAGTTCTCAGTCCTGGGGGTGTCGTTATGACCCGGCCTCTTGCCTAACAGGCATGCTCCACTCCCTCCAGCCTCCGTGCGCCTTCTGTCCTCATCCCTCCTGAGAGCCTCAGGCAGGGAGGCCCAGCAGCAGCTGCATAGCTGGTCACCTGTTAGTGCAAGCCGTGGCCACTTAGCGAGGGCCTGGGGAGAGCCAGCCTAGCATGCCACGAGGGAGGTCGCAGCAGTGTGGACACATCTCCAACGTCAGCCACTCCCTGACATGTCGGAGGATACATAAGAGAAGCTGTGCTGCCAGTGTAAGCAGAGAAGGGGAAACAGTAGAGAAGGGGGAAGAAACTTCCCACCCCAAAGCACTGTGACTCCTTGTCCTGCCCATGTGCTTCAAACAGTGATTTCCAAAAATGCCTCTGAGCTGGTTTTGGCTGGCCCTGCGTCTGCTCTGGCCACGGCCAGTACGCTGGACAGCCAGCCCAGCGCAAACAAAAGCGAGGCCCCTTCCCACACTCCCAGACACCTGCAGCAGGGGGAGCCCCGCTCTTCATGCACAGGCCTGTTAGGGCCCGACTTCAGGAGGCCCTTGCTGGACAGTTCCCCGGCAGTGGCGGTAGAGGAGAGATGCTCAAAGGCTCAGAGCTGATGGGGCCGGTGTCTGGCTTTGGGGGCCCCTCTCAGGCTGGTTCTCACGAACACATGTTTGCTTAAATGCAGTGCCCAGGGGCTGGCGCGCATGTGATTTCCGCCTTTCAGTTCCACATGATTGCCTGACTGCAGAAACAAGCACTCTCCTCACTGCTTGATTTCAGTTATTTCTAGGTTTTAAGAAAGTGAGTAATGTCCATAAAGGCAAGACGTGATAAATGCCAAAATATATGACTATTTGTTTGCTTTTGTTGATATCTTCTTTTATATCCTCACCAAAAGTACATTGTTCTACTCATTCCTTTCTTTGGGTATTTTCTGTCTCCCTATGTAGCTCATTAGCTTTTAGAGTTTTAAGAACTCCCCTCATATAAAAATTATAAATTATAAATTCTGACACACCCCAGCAGTTTTGACATATACTATTTTGATTAGTATCTAGTGCTACGTATTTGTTCTGTTTCTAAACTTGTTATATCTATATTTTGAGGAATTTCCTCAACTTTATTTTGCATCATTATGCTTCTCTTCAGATGTGTCTACTCCTATTTAATCCATCCATTGCGTTTTGAAAGTCGTCTCATTTCAAAAATTATTAAACTTACAGAAGATTGTAAAGAACTGAATATGAGCAAATACCAATTACGTCTTGCCTGGAGGACTTCCCATGGCTATGGTACACGCTGTTCTTAAATACTCAACCAGGCCTCTTAAATGAATACCATTTAAATGAGTGCCATAACCACACAAAACAACAGTCACATCCAACATACTGCTCAAATTTCTCCAAGGACCTCGCAAATGCCAGTCATACAAGCTTTGTTTTTCTGACCTAGGAGCCAAAGTTCCCACCATTATATTTGACTGCTATGTCTCCTGAATCTCTCCCTTTCTGGATCAGCACTTGACTTCCTTCTCTTGTTCACGACAGTGAGACCTAGGAAGAATAGAGGCCAGGTGTTCTGAAGCCCATCCCACAATCTGGAATTGTCCAGCGTTTTCTGCATTGCTAAGCTTGGGTCAAACACTGTCGGCAAGAATCACTTGAATCACTGAACCTAGTGACGTTCAAGTTTCCCACTGCATCACTCTCGAAGGCTCGTAAAGTCAGACGCTGGTGAAAAGTGGTTGCTGCCTGCCAGATTTCACTACCCACATGAACCTCTGCCTCTTTGTAATTAATAGCATGTGGTGGCCTGTGAGACTGAATAGTTTGCTCCTCAACAGACTGCACCAGCGTTTCCACATCCTTGATCCGAGTCTGACTCAGTTCATGTTACACTGGGGACTGCAGATCAGCTGTTTTCTGATTCTAGCATTTCTTCTACACTTATTTGCAAGTGCACTCCTACACATCTATAAAAAGACTTCTCTCTCCTCCCTTCCTTTTGGGTTTTATACAAACTTGTGAATTTTTTAAAGTCAATGGTCTTAAATCCATATCATCATCATTTTGGGGGGTGTTCAAATTGTCCAAAATGAGACCAGTGGGACTCAGACACCTTTTGAGATTAGTTTTGACCACTTTCTTATTTTCAGCCATAACGAGTTGTCCTGCTGCCATCTAGAATCAGGTATTTCTCCCAGAAACGCCAGCTCCTTTGAATGGGGAATGGCATTCAGAAGCCAAGGTCTGGACGTTAGCTACATTTCAGCCATCAGATTTAACACTTAGAAGACCCTCTATTTGGCTATTTTTCAAATCAACTGGTTATTTCCAGAGATCTCTTGTTCTGTCCAACTCTATTTAAATGCCTTGGAGCAGGAAATCTGGTTCAAGCAGTATAAAGAGGAGGAGGAGAGAGCATGGCCAAAGTAGCCCAGGAGAGGGAGGGATACATTCACCCAGCAGGTACCTTTGCATGTGCCGTGGGGGCGGCTTCGGGTCTGTGGAGCTGATCCTACTGCACCTTGTTTTGAAGTTTATTGGTGGGTATTTGTTGAGTGTACCTAAGAAGAGAAAACTCTGATGAGTCTCTTACTCATGGCCATTAACATTGTAATCTCTGTATGTGTCTCTTCTTTGCTTTCAAAATCCATCAAAGAATCACAACCATGAAGCTGCCCATGTGAGATAAAAGCAGGTGCTCGTCTCTAACACGGGGTTTGGGGAGGGGGGAACTGTCAAATTTACAGGTAGAGAAACACAAGTCCACCTTTCAATAAGATGCCCTTAGTTGCTAAAGTTGGTTAAGCCTTAGAGAAAGTATTATGAGCCAGTTCTAAAAGTCTGGTCTCTGAGGGTCAGGAACTCATCAGAATGTTTTTTTTTTCCCCCTCCTTTGGGATCTTCACCTGCAAGGAGAAAGGGAAATTCCCTTCATGGTCACCGCATCATCAACAACAGTAACAGTGACACCCTCCTGGATTTACTTCATTAGGGGCTCATTTCATTTGAAATTAAATTTACATAATATCCAGGTGTGCCTCACTCCATACCATTTAAACATTTCAAAGCCATTTTTTTGATGGGAAACTTAAAAAGTGTGCTATTTTCTGGAAGCATTCAGCACAAGTGTCCTCTGGTGACCCAGGGTCCTCAGGCAGCCGGTCAATACCTGGGCTGCTCCTTCAGGGCGTCTGTGCACTGCGGGCTGGGTGACCCATGGCCACAAGAGCCCTCCCACTGGTCACCTGAGCTTGACTTGTGTGTGTGTGTTAACTTGCAAGCACCAGACATCTGTCAGTGGACTACCGCCTTGCTTAGAAGATGTGCGGGTTTGGCCGCGGTGACTCTACTTGCACCCAGGCCACGACCACTTAGATGAGCTGCAGTGGAGTCCACGGGGGGGGGGGGCAGTCACCAGGTGGACTTTGGCCACTCATCTGCTTCCGACCTGCACTGAGAGAGGCAGGGTCTGACGAGCACAGTGACGCAAGGCAGGTGAGTGTGTCCATGCACCTGCACGCTCCCCAGGCAAGCTCCCGCCCAGATACATGCCCGTGTTTCTTTTCCATGGGTGACAGTTGCACTAATTCCTAGCATCACAAAACATTGGTAACAAGCAGAGCAAGTGTTTCGAGGACGTAGCTTTCACTTTGAAAGGTAAAGGGCGTCTCCTAACACTTCAAGCCCTTTTTTGGAACTTGTAAAAAGCAAAGCCAAGAATTGCTTCATTTTTCTTGGGCTCTCTCTCTGGCATGTTAACTGCTGGGATTTGCCATCAAAGGGCAGGGTGCTAATGTTAGCTGGCAAGGGATTCTCCTTTGTAGCTGAGTGTGAGACTTCACACCCAGACTATACTGCTCCATGTGGACAGATGTGAGCAGCTGTCTGTTACGACTGCTTCTCCATAGGCGCCATCGGAGCGCAGAGAAGAGCCAGAACACAAAGGCCTAGCAGGTTCCCTCCCTCCACCACTCCTCATTACGTGTTTTCCTTTCTGACCCCACAATGCCCTTAAAAACAAACAAGGGGTTCCTAAGACTCCTCGATGTGGAAATACCAAGTTTACCCCCCTCAATGTGCAAGGAAGAACATTTTATGACTTACGCCTGAGTGAGTTTATAAAGGACTTCGCAAACTTCACACTGTATCTGTGGTCAGGCTTATGAATTCGGCCAAGCTGGACCAGGTGTTGATCCACAGGGTGGCTGGCAAGATCTTCCAGTTCCTTGTCATTCCAAGCAGGGCCGAGGGAAAACACGAACAGGGCATATCCTTGACACTTGGCTTGCAGGGATGCTTTCTTCAACGTCTCCCTGTCTGAGTGACTGGTCTCCCCAGTGGATATCACAAATATGGCTCTGTTTCTTCTCAGGTTGGGTGCACTTAAAAAGACATTGTCCAGCGTCCACTGCAGGGCGTGGCCGGTGAACGCATCGCCGTTCAGCTGCTGGACCAAGGTTTCCACGTGCCTCTTCATGAGGCGCCGACTGCGGTAGGTGGTGAGGTTGAACTCGGCTCTGACGGGGCTCTTCTGCGTGTTGGGTCGGAAGTCGGGGGGAGCGTGGCTCACGAGGGCCACCCGGTCTCCAGTGACAGAGGTCTCTGGCTCGTCAGCCACTTGAAAGTGATCCAACAGGGCTGCCAAGAAGCCTCTTATGTCTTCGAATTCAGCATCGCCCACCTGCCGAGAGCTGTCCAGAAGGAAGGCAGCGTCCACATAGGAGAGCAGGGTGAGTGGTCGCACTTCATGGCAAGAGGCGTCTGGGTTGCACACATCTGAGGGCCAAAGTCACTGGGGTTACTGAACAGAAAGGCAGATCAGGGCAGCAGGAGCAAGCAGGTATGCAGACACTCAGAAACCCCATCAGCCTTGCTGTGAAGATGGCCACCAACTGGCCCTGATCTCAGCGACAGGAAGGTCTCTCAGGCGCGGCCTGCATTGCCAGCCCTGAAGTAAAGAATACCACCACCCCCCGCCCAGGGTGTGGGGCCCATTTATAAGGCTCTTGTCAGTCTTAAAATTAAGCTGCTTTCCAGTGATGCTTAACCTCGGTGGTGTTTGGTCCCTGAGGACCGAAGTGGATAATTTTGCTCATGCAAAATTGTAGGGTGTGCTGAATCCTGACATGAAATACTGCTCCATCTCTGGATGACAGAGGTGAGGCCGGCGACCTTATTGCTCTGCTCACTCTGTTCCTTCTCTGGAAAGTAATCTACTTAAGAAGTGAGAGCGGAAAAAAACCAATAAATCCTTTATTTCAATTTAAATAAAGGTTTATAAGTCAATGTCTATCAGTGCATTCAACGTTAAGGACAAAGTCACGACTCCCATTTACATCTCCACGGTGCTTTTAATTGAAAACTCAGTATGTGTTTATTAAATAGCTATAAATACTGCCTATTAATGGGTTCCAAAAGTGTGAGATCGTTTTCTTATAAATATGCACATCTCATTTACAAAAAGAATGTGTAGTAATAAAATCATAGTGAATTTTATGAGATCTGACCACAATGAATATTCAGGGGGATTAATAAAAAATGGAAATGGAAGGCTCTTAGAGTTCAAGTGATCTTCTAATTTTTAGAAGAGGCTGAAGCCAGGGAGGTTAAAACCATTTTCCAAAGGATACAGCAGTGCTTCTAGAAGGTTCTGTGGGTTAAGTCAGTAGTCTAGTGTAAGGCACAATGGAGACAGGGGTGTAGTGGGGGGAGGCCCTGGGCCTGAGTGCCAGGACCCAATCTGGCCACCTTATCGGGTCTCCTGGGACAGGCTTAGGGTCTAGCTGCAGGGTGAGGTGCCGACGTGACCTCAGGAGTCTCTCAGCTCCCACTGAGAGTCCCTGATGCTCCGCGGTAGCTGATGGCAGAAGACTGTGAACGGCCTCTTGGAAAACCAGAGACGTACAACAGCATGCGCACAATAGCTGGCCACGGACCCCGCCGGGAGTAAAAGCTCTACGAGATGGGCGCCCAACACCCAGCATGCAGACCCCAGGGGGTGCCATGAGTTCCCCAGGTCAGGCTTGGGCACGGCCTCTGCACAGCCGTGCTCCCCGTCCAGGGAGATTTCATGGCCGTGTTCAGTGGGAGGTGACAGGAGACACACCTGTGTGCAAGGCAGTTTCTGGAATCAGGGACAGCAGGCTGCCCATTTGCTTAAATTTTTTAATGGAAAACAGCAAACTGCCAAAAAATCCTCCATTAAATGCCTCAGAGACAAAATAAGGGCCTATGCCAACGGATGGAGCCCAAATCCCTCCCCAGGCCCACATGTGCCACTGCTGCCTTTGCGACACACCAGCGGCTGTTGCAGGTGACATGTTTGAAAGCGCAAGTGGGAACGTGGGGGGTGGGACGCACCCCCGCAGCATGGTCGGCACAGGAGCTGCTGGGGGGCAGCCTGCGGCAGGCAGCCTGCCAGGGCCTCCCCGATGGTTCTGCACCCCGGCGGGTGTGGAGAGGGAGACCGGTTGGAGGGCAAAGTCCCCCTCCCCAGGGCCCAGCTCCCTGTGAGGGCATTCCCAGGGCAAGCATTGGCACCGCATTGATTCAGGGCGGAGAAGGGCAAAGCACTTTCTCAGTGAGTTTCAGGAAGTGTAAAGTGGGATCTTCAGCCCCGAGCTGCAGCTCCCTGGAACGGTCGCCATCACCCCCTGGTCTCTTCTCTCTAACCCTCCATGTGGCGGTTTCCAGGAAGCCCATGACTTTTTGCCTCACATCTATAGTTGCTTAAATTTTGCCTTTTTAAAAATTTTGAGCATTTGTTTGGTTTCCTTCTATTCTTCCTATAAATGAAACCATCTGATAGTTTTCTTTTTGCTTCTGACTTATTTCAATTAGCATAACCCCTTCTCTCTCCATCCACACTGCTGCAAATGGCATCCGTTTTATCTTTTTGATCACTGAGTAATATTCCACTACGGAAATATACCACATCTTGCACATCTTGCTCATCTGTTTTGGCAGCTAGGTCTCCGTATCTTAGCTACAGGCGTGCCTGGGTGATGTGCTGGTGGTTACACCTGAGTGGAGAAGCCTGGTGACTGGGGAGGGGGACTTTGCCCTCCAACCGGTCTCCCTCTCCACACCCGCCGGGGTGCAGAACCATCGGGGAGGCCCTGGCAGGCTGCCTGCCGCAGGTAGCTCCTGACCATGCTGCGGGGGTGCGTCCCACCCCCCACGTTCCCACTTGCGCTTTCAAACATGTCACCTGCAACAGCCGCTGGTGTGTCGCAAAGGCAGCAGTGGCACATGTGGGCCTGGGGAGGGATTTGGGCTCCATCCGTTGGCATAGGCCCTTATTTTGTCAAAATGGGCAACAATGTAAGAAAATAAAAAGTTTAATTAAAAAAAATAAAGATTAAAAGAAAAATACCAGATGGTTTCACTCATAGCAGGAGTATAATGGACCAGGCGAGAAAATAACAAAAATAATGAACAACCATAGACCAGAGACATTCTGTGGGGGTGGAGTGGGGAATGGGATCAAAAACAGGGGGGGGGAAGGGAGGGAAATGCACGGGACTAGGGTGGTGGCACAGGGGTGATCTGGTGATGGGAAACCCACGGGGATTACAATCGAGATGGAAAAAAATATGTGCAAAATGATGTAAAAATAAGCTTTGTAATAAAAAAAAAAGATTAAAAATAGCTTTCTTGGATTTGATTTATTTATGGATGTGAGGCCCTAAGCAGTTTCTCTCATTTCCCACCTTCATTATCTGTAAAATGGCGCCAGTAATGGTGCGGATATTTCAGGACGACTATGAGGACTGAGTGCAATGGTTAGCGCACCTGTAGCACTGTGCGCTTAAGGACGCATGATCATCACTACGCCAAGCAGGTAAACGGCGGACGATCTCACCCAGAAGGAACCTCAGCTGTTTTCCTCAGCGCTAGGACATTCAAACTGCTAGACTCAGATGCAGGTCTAGCTAGTTTTCCGGCTTGATCTCTAGGTTGGTTAAAAAACATAACAGGCAACATGGCCCTGCAGATCTTTCCCAAAGCTTAACACTTGGGACTCCATAAAAATCTTTCCAGTGAAGCGCCATGAATTTCTGCTAATTTCACTTCTACTCGGCTGAAACATGTTTGCAAGGAGGCAGGAGGCGGCTGAACTGCCGTGAAGTGTTTCTTGGGGGCTGTGAACACCGGCGATGGAGAAAACACAAACCTATATGACAGCACGATCACCTGGCAGCGAGACAAGCTGAGGTTTCTAAAAGTCGTTGGTTTCCTGGAAACCGCCACGTGGAGGACACCGTCAGACAGGAGGAGCCCAGCTCACTGCGCCGACAGGCTCCATCTGTGGATGACGCCGGGTGGCGGGGGGAGCCCGGGGCTCTGGGGAAGGCTCCCCAACCGCTTAGCCCCTCTGCCAAGTGCCAGCCCTCCTGCCAACGATGACTCACAGCGCTTAACGGGCCTGACCAAATCTCGCTCTCGGTGGGTCTTACCGTGGCAGAAAGTGCACAGCTGCAGTCTCTCTAGTGCTGCTGTGTGGTCAGTCCCGGATGGAACCACAATGACTTGGAATGTGCCAGTGTCGTCAATCTACAAGGTGCAGAGGGAGAGAAAGAGCTGTTGGGAGGCCTGCGGGACCTGCAGTGGCTGTTTGAGCATGAGCTTCCCAGAGCTCAGCACTGCCCTTCCCAGAGGGCCAGGGGCGGCTCGGCAAGGCCTGACTCTCCTCTTAGCCATGTGAAAACCGACTTTGCCTCTGTTTCCTCATCTGTAAAAAGGAACAATCGCACAACTAGCTAACGGGCACTGTGAGCGTTACCTGAAGTCACAACTGAGCGTGCGTGGGGGCGCAGGCGGGCGCTGTGTGCTGTCAGCCACACGTCCCTGCCTATTAGCTCAGGGCCGGGAGTTCTTTCTTATGCTCATCACCCAGACGAGGACACAGAAACTCGGAGAAAGATGAAGGGGCTGATCCAGAGACACTGGATGTGGAAGCCATTCAAGGAAGGGGGTGGTGCCACCTCCCACGTCCCAGAGAGAACCCCATGAAATTGCGGGACCTGCTTCATCGCTGTCCGCGGGCTCCCTGGAACCAGGTGGAAGCTGCTCTGCCATGTGGACCCCGGGCAGAGCCCGGGCCAGACAGCTGTGCTGCGAGTGAACCACCCCTTACCCCCACCCCCCAGTGGGCTCCAGGCCCAGGCAGGGGCACCTGAGGCTAGAGAGTGGCAGATGGGAGAGCTCATCAGTTAGCGACAGCCTCTGAGGTGAGGGACAGGGAAATTGGAGGTGTGATCCCAGCTCATGCCTCAGAGGTGACCCTTGGACTGAGTGTTCTTTCTCGACGATTCCACCGGCGTCATATGTGGTGGGAGACAGTGGTTTGGACCGGGCCTCTGCCTCTCCTGAGGAGTCGGCTGCTCACGATGGCCGATGGACGCTTTGCAGGGGCCAGCGGGACCCTGTGCTTGGCCCTGCAGCTGAGCCTCATTGCCCCAGCATTGCCCGCCATCATGGCCCCAGGGGCTCACTCTGGACTCTGCACGAAGGCTCATTCCTCCAGCTAAAGAGCCCTAACAGGAATGGCTCTTCCTGCTCAAAGTCAGGAATCTACACGCTCGGTGACATTTCTTAAACGAGGTGATGGGTTTTCACATATGGCAACACTAGTGCCGGGTCACAGTGACACCTCCCAGGTCCCATGGGTCTTCTGGTTTACCATCTTCACACCTGGGGGGGGGGCGGCCGGGGAGAAGCAAACCTGGTTTGCACCCTGACAGTGTCACTTCTCTGCTGTGAGCCCGCCCCCCCCCCCAGAGGTGACATCCTCGGCTGTTTCTCACTCATGCGCTGGGAAGAGCAACCTCACCCATCAGGGGGATGCACGGGAAGAGCTACAGCCTCCGGGCGCCACGACCGTGCCGCCATTCCAGGCTATCCTGTGGGGCCTAGCAAAGGATACAAAGGCTGGACCCTCTTACCGAGAAGGCGCGCCTGACAGAGGGCACGTTGCTGAAGGCGATCACCACCGGGACAATGCCAAGGGCGCTGAATTCCATGGTGGCCGTGGTGATGGTCTGGGCATCGGCAGACTGGCCGCTGCTGAAAAACGTGGCAATTCTCCGGGTGTGAGGCCCGGGAAGCATGCGCTTGAAGACATTCCTGGAGATAAACCGCATGGCTTGGCCAATCTCCCCGCCCTCCGAAGACTCCTCGTAGGGCAAAGCCTCGATCTCCCGGAGCAGGTGGTGCTTCCGGTAGGTGTCCGAGAAGCGGATGAGGTGCCGGGTGTGGGAGTTGTAGGCGAGCACCGCCACGTGGGCGCCCACCGGGCAGCTGCTCTCCCGCACCCTCATGCCCCTCAGCACGGAGGCCACCATCTCCTTCATCCGCTTGAAGTCCTGCTTGGTGACGCCCCGGGACTGCTCTAAAGCAAACACCAGCTCGGTCGGGTGCACGGGACATTCTGGCTTCCCTGAAAGACAAGACCCCGAACCTCATCACGGAGCCAAACAACAACGCAAAACACAGAGATGGCAAAAAAACGTGAAATGCCAGAGTGGAATATTTAGAGAGTGAATAAGCATGACCAATTCAAATGTCAGAGACTTAAAATGGTATCGAAACCTCGAATGGGTACAAATTCTATTCCAAAAACTGAATTTCTTTTCTTAAAGAACAAGAAAAGGACTCCAGTGCATTTTTTTTTTTTAGTGCAATGTGTACATTAATTACCCAATTGCCTGTAAATAATGAAGAATTCCTGGGTAGGAGATCTGCTGCATTACCTACTGAGTCTGAATCGGCGGCATTGTTAGTGCTGGAAGTTTACTCAGTTAAGTTTGTAGCCAGAAAGAAAAGGGAACAAAGGCTCTGTGGAAAGTTCCAGCAAGACTGAAGGAGTTTACACAGTGCAGAGAACAGACCCCAGTGCTGGGACCTCAGGCGCTGCAGGAAGTGCGAGGAACTGACTCACTCTCTCTGCCCCCTACAAAATCCCAGCTGAAAGCCCCCATTGCACAGTCCTGGGTCAAGGATTAACAGACCTCTTAGGTCACAGTGCCTGGCACACAATAGGTGCTCAGTTAACACAAGTATTATCATCCTAGAGCTCTTCACTGTGTTTGTTAACCGGGTCATGAAAAGCTTGAGGAAAGCTTTCACTGACTTTTTTTTTTTTTTTAAGATTTATTTATTTGTGCATACAGAACTGGGGTACAGGCCAGAGGCTCAGGGGCGGTGAGAGGCTTCACCAGAGACAGAGTGGGGAACAGAACAGGCAGATCGACGAAGTACACTGCTGAGGGGAGCAGCAGGCGGGTCAGGAGAGGTGAGGTCTGCCACACCATGTGGTCACCTCTGGGGCAGGCGGGAATCGAACTCATGCGGAAGCGGCTTTAGATTCTCAGTGCTGTGCTTTAACCCGCTGCGCCACCAGGGAGGGCCTCACTGACTTATTTTTACTGAACAGTACAAACGCAAATCTACCCCAGAAACAGGCCTTTTTACTTAGAGCAACACTGAATTATAATTGAGACTTACACTTGAATCTAAGCATTAATATGGATTATTATTCATGGATTCATTCATTCTAATCTCAGTGCCCTGCACTTTTCACAGTTGGCAATTTCTATTTATCTGATGATCTGATTAATGTTTGCTTCACCCGTAATTATGACGTGTGGCGACAGGGATGCTGTCTCTCTGATCTGCCACATTACTAGTGCCTGCCACAGGTCTGGGACCTGACAAATACTGGCTGGTGAAAAAGAATAAAACAAGGGACGGTTCCTTGTTCTGGGTACAAGAAAAAAACTGGCTTTCATAATAGCTGAGATGCCTGGCGTTGAGATGTGTGTGGGCAAAAGGGAATCTCCGTGATGTCATGACCTTCAGATGCCACAGGTCAGACAGGGAGATAATAAATGCTGCTGCTCCCACGAGGCCCCTGGGATCAGCCAGCTGACCAGGAGGGTCTTGCGCACAGAGCCCCTCAGGGCCTGGTCACCTTAGTGTTTGGGCATCACCTCCTCTGGTCCAGGACCCTGGGACCTTAATCTGACTAGTAATCAACAGTCAACACCAAATCAAACTGCATCTCAACAGAGACAAGGCATAACTTATTGAGTCTGAAGGCAGCTGTCAAAGACAGTCGGGTCTTGGGAGTGCCGCTTCCAGCTCCATGGGCCCTCCCCACCCATGGTCACCCATGGGCATCTGATGTCTGCGCTCACTCAGCGCATCTTCACTGAAAGCCTGCCGCGTGCCCTCTCTGTGCCAGGAGTGGAGCACAGGGCTGATAAGATGGGTGTGACCCCCGTCTTCAGCGCCAGGTCCTGGGGGTCTAGATAGTCGCACATGGAAGAATTACAGAATCCTGTGGTTTCCATGAAAGAGCTCGAAAGTGGGAGGGTACGGTTTAGGAAGGGGTCATGCCCTTGTCGGGGCAACTCTGTGAGGTGGGAACTTCAGGGTTTGGGCCGAAGAGCTGAAAGGAGCCAGCTTTTGAAAAGCAGCAGGGAGAACTCAAGTGTAAAGGCCACCAAACAGGGAAGACCTAGGTGTTTTCTAGAAACCGACAGATAGTATCGTAAATCAATACAAATTAAAAACACTCAATTAGAATTATAAAAAAATGTATAGGGGTGCTGCTGCACAAGTAGGTGATATAAAAACATCATGCAGGAAACATCTATACAATACTTGAAAACCAGCAATGAGAGGTGTCAGGCCTGACTGGTACGTAACATCAGAAAGGGGGCTCCAGGCAGCACCCCTGAGTTGCGCGTGCGGAGAACCGGCTAGGGCTCACGTCTGCTTTCTCTCTCCAGGCTTTTCCTATTCTTTCTTATTCCCTAACACCACACTAGAGAAATGATAATGCTGAAAAAGCAAATAAAAAGAGAGGGAGAAATACTCATAAAAAAAATCCATCAGCAAGGTAAAATAGCCATGTTAATCATGAAAACATTAAAGATGAAAAAACCAAACCAGCTGGTTGAAGAACAGCTCTAAGATGCCACCAGAGCAGGATGGTTTGTGAGTGCAGGTCTGGGCCACCAGTATGAAGCAGCAGACTCGGCCCAGAGAAAGCTCGAATCCTCCGGCAGACAACATGACGTTCAAACACATCTTTCCCGATGTATGATGTTTAGGGCTTGTATGTAATATGCTGCAAATAAAGACCACTCACCATGTCCGCCGGCTGGGGAAGAAGAACAAAGGAGACGGTTACTGTTCGGCAGAGCAGCTCTGTGTGACTCGAAAATCAAGGCACAGACAGGGTTTGGAGAAAATGCAGACAGATCTCAGCCTCTGGGTCCAGCCACCGTCCCCCCCAGGGGGAGTGGGCTGGGTGGGGCGGGGCGGGGCGGGGCGGCAGGCAGCCAGTCAGCAGGCTGTGCCACGTCGGGGGGCCAGGATGGGGTCTCCCTGGGAGGAGGCCGTGGGGCGCACTGCGCCTGGAAGCTAAAAGGCCCGAACACCTGTCTTTGCTCCAGTGTACCCATGTAGCTATCGAGAGCTGTCAGTTTTACTTATGCACATGTATCCGTTGTATGTACATGTAACTACTGGATATGTATACGCTCTAGGTGTATAGTGCACGCAGCTACACATGCCATGTGTCTACATGTACAGAAGGTATATACATGTATGTAACATGTAACACATGTATGTATACTGTATGCATGCATGAGGGTATGGAAGTACACAACTGACCCTGGGAGTGCAAACCCCTGCCCCCACTTCTCACTGCCCCCTAAACTTAGCTTATGGTCTGCTACTGAGCTCACTGATACTATACATAGTTGGTTGACCTACTTTTTATATGCTATATCTGACTTTCTACAATAAAGGCAGCTAGAGGAAGAAAACACTGAAAGAGTTAGCAGGAAGAGAAAGCCCACTGGCAGTACAGAGGGCATCTGTCCACTCCGCAGGCTTCTGTCAGGTTTACGAGAAAGCCCGCATGGAGGTGGACCTGCGCCGCCCGCCCCATGTGGTTCAAGGGCTAATGCTCTCCGTGCACATAAATAACGGTGGCGCTGGAGTTGCTAGGAAGCAAATGAAGCTGAGGCTCAGGCCTGAACTGTCCAATCTGACGCCATGAGCCACAGGTGACTATGTTGTCATGAATTAAGCGGAACAAAGAATTCAAGTTTTAGCTGCACTAAGATGCTGAGTCCTCAGAGTCCCACGTGGCTCATGGCTGCCATGCTGGACAGGGGGTCACCCTACCCAGGGGAAAGAGTTCCCCTGGGCCTTGGGCCACCTGCCTTGCACTTTCAGGGTCCAGGCATGGGTCCCTGTGTCGTGTGCTTTTGTGACACACAGAAGTCCCGAAATGTCTCCAGGGAGCCTCTGACTCTTCCTTCCAGGCCCAGTGTTGATTTGGGATGTTGTCTGGGTGCCTTTGTCAGTGAACAGTCTCCAATTGTTCAAGTCTATGGACTACTGAACAGATGAGTCAACCCTCTCGGGTTCCACATGAACTCCCCTGATGTTCGCGCAACACTGATAGAAGAGGCTGCTATTGGGAGCTTAAAGTAAATTACCAAGAGCATTTGCCAAGTCAAAGTGCCTTTTTGCTTTTACAGTTTCTAGGGAGAATATAATAATGGCAGAATGAATGATGTTACAAGCAAATCAATCCATTCAGCTAAAAGCAATCAAGTATGTGTTTCCAGGAAAGGAGTAATAAACAGCCAGCCCAAGTCAGGGCCCCCTCCCACTGGGGTACCCTATTATCATGGCTGTTTCACACCAAGTGAATTCACCTGACAGCCACTGTCAGGTGTTAACAATCACTTTCCAAAGTGCAATCTGATTCTCTACAGATTGATTTCAAAGTCAGCGGGGCTCTGACCTCCTATGGCAATTTCACCTAGATTAAAAGTACTAGGTGTATTATTAGTTAGGCTTGGAACAGGTCCTTACAGATACACTGGCAGAAGGACAGGGTAGTCACCCATCAATTCTAGCTCAGAGTACATGCACTGATGTTTCTAGTTTTAAGGAGCCGGCAATCCAGTGTGTCGAGGCTGAGTGCCCATCTCACTGCCTTGTCTCCATGAATGCTGACCGTGGCTGACCGTTTTAAGCAGGTACTTACGACTCTGGTCCCGCACATACTGAATGAGCTCACACATCTGCAGTTCAAAAATAAAACAGAAGGGATTAACCGACAGGCTGCCAGGTTGTGAGGTTTAAAAATAAATACGCTCACGGGAGTGCTGAGAGCTCTCTGCTGGAGCCAGGAGATACGTACGGAAAATGAAGGCAGTCCTTTGCTCCCTTTCACTCCCTAGGGAAACAGACAAACACATGTGACTTCTCCACTCTAGACACTTCCATCCACAGCAAGAAAGTGAATCTTCAGAAAGCAATAGCTTCTTGAAGGGTTTCCATGAAGAGAGGAAGACTCTGGGTAGGGTACCGTCGCCCACACGGGAGGCCTTTGAGGGAAATCAACTGCAGGCAGCAAGCACGAGGCACACAGGCTCCAAAAGCTACTTCCCCCATCTCTGGATGACAAGGGCTCCCCAGAACCTCAGGATGAAGCGCTCCGGCTCCTGAGCGACCAGTGGTGGCTCTGGACTAGATGCGGCTCAGCCACCGTGGCGCCACCCCCTGAAGGCAGAGGCTTGAGTTTCCTCCACCCCTGGCTTTGACCTGGCCCCCAAGTGGCAGCCAGAGCCAAACCTGTGTCTGATCCCGTCCCTGGTCCAGGGGACCAGACTCAACCCCCACATCTGGAAAGGTGATCCCAACTGTCTTCCAAGAGGACCATATATATAGATAACTGTCTCGTTATGGATAGAAAGGATGAGTGGAACTAGCTCTGATTTCAAGAGCTCAGTCTCATCTTTGGAACAGGGTGAATCTGGCTACTTGAAAAAGACACACCCCAGGAAAAGTGCACTGGAGGCCCCCAACCCAAACCCCAAAGGTAATAAGTTCCATATGGGTCAACTTTGATAATTTTCTCTTTCCTTCACTCACTGACCACTTACTTACTATGAGAACAAGGATTGGACTGATCAACAAAACTCACTGATCATTGAGAAATCTCATTTTAGCGTAATAGTCTTCCTGTCCTCTTAATTCTCCCCACCTCCCAAGAGTGGCAACCAATATTTAATTAGCGTCTTCCCCTCTTTGAGCACTAAAATGTGGGAAAATTGTGAAAATAGTTGCCAAACTGCGAAGACAGTGAAGACTCCATTGTGTTCCACTGACAATACAATATCTCCAGGGGCATTTTACTTGGAAAGATCTAGTGTATGGTTTTCAGCTTACCTTGTGTCCAGGAGGTCCCTGCTCTCCAGGGGATCCCAGCGCTCCTGGAAGCCCAGCAGATATCTTAAAACAGAATTTATTTCAAAATTATATATTTGTATATATGCATGTGTGTGTTAAATGTCACAGACAATACAATTTCATTTTAGAAAATTAAGTGATTTCTAAAAAGCAAAGAAGAAAAAAATCCTCAGTATTTCCTTCTCCCCAAATAATCCTTGCTAATATTTGATGTCTTTCCTGTTTATAAATATTATTCTTTTGAGATTAAGATATATACTCTTGTAAATATATAATGTTATAGTTTTTTTCCTGTTGCCTTTTAAATTAAGTGTACATTTCTGGACATTTTCACATTACTAAAAATTCTTTGGTAAAGGCACTTTATACAACTGCATAGTATTCTACCACATGGATTACCTTGATTTATTTAATTAGTCTTTTTTTTTATTTGGCATTTAAGATTTGGTGTTGTTACAGTAAGTAACACAATATAAAGCTATATGCATAATACTGATTATGTCATGGATTGCTAGAACTGGAGTTGGTAGGTCAAAGGAGAAATTCTGACCTAAGTTAGGTAACTAACTGAAAAACTGAATGAGAGCCAAGAAAACATTTAAATATAAAAATCCTTGAAATAACAAAAAAAGTTAACATTGGCTGGAAATATTTGCAGTGAAATGGGGGAGCAGCAGCAGTTAGAAAAACAACAGCTGTTGACTATTTACTAAATGCCATGAATTTTTTTCCATGTGTATTCAACAATATAAAAGAAACAATTTAGTTTTAAAATTAGGGCAACAACATTCCTTTGTTGATTCAAATGCTATAGGTTTATGACCTTTTATAAGAATAAAAAATGAAGTTGTTGAAAATCAATTTAATTTGTAAAAACACTGCTTATGGGACAGCAAATAAATAGTAATGCCCTTGGATATTTCAATGATGTTTACAGTATCCTAGAAAGAAAAACGAAAATTACCGCACCTGCACCTGTTGTTTACAACACAGAGATTTACCCCCAGGAAATCAAATGGCAGTTGAGTGTATACACGCATTTTTGCTTCTGCCCCGTGTCTTACTAAAATGATAGCAGTTTTTTTTTTAAAGGCCAAAAATAACCTTGACTAGGATGGGGAGAATGAGAAACAGTCATAAACTATTAGAGGCTGAAAAGCAATTTCTAAGTGTTCAATGACTTAGCAGATCAGAAAAAGCTGCATCAAAGCAGCACAGGCAAGTGTATTCCATGTGACACGTTCCCAGAAGGCTCAGCACGGGCAGCCCCAGGCAGCTCTGGGGGTGAAGGGGGCGGCGAAGCTCACAGGAGGCTAGCTGAAATCCTAAGAATCTCCAAATCGCTTTTCCTTTCTCCACAGTTGGGACAACAACCCTTCTTCCACCCTAGCGAGAGACAGAGGTAGACCAAGTATCTGCTCTGGGGAGCTTCAGGCAGGACTGCAGGCCAAGCACACGGTCCTGGAAACAGGACATCTGATGGCGGTTAAGTGATGCGAGACCCTCCTCTCTCCTTTTCTCTGTAGCTCCCAGAAAGCTGCCAGTTGGACCTTCACTCTTAGGCAGGAAGTCGAAAGTAATGTGTCAGGGCACTTGCACTGGGTCAAGAAGAAAGCGGAAAGACACAGCTGGTAGACGTTTGCTAAGTAAAGAGCACAGCCAGGTGGCTCTCCAGCGAAGCTGGTGCTGCCGTTGACCCGCCCTGGGGTTTCCAATCAGCACCTGCGTCCCCCATCCTTCAACAGAAAGCCAGTGCCCATTCCCTAGGCATGTGGGAAACAGCAAAACAGAGAAACACTGCTGGAGAGACTGTGCCGGGCAAAGATGACTGGGGAAAAAAAATGCCACGGTGGATGGTTAGAGAAAGAAGACACTGCAACCATGAAGCCAGAACATAATCAGAGAACAAAAATGAGTTCTTGAAAATGAAAATGTAAGAGGAGTGTTGAAACGTAAAGCCAAAGACAGCCCCCAGAGGAGGGCAAACAGACCACCACCTGGGGACAGCTGAGGCAGGGGCAGAGGCCCTGTCCCCACCAAGGCTGAGATATGCTGCGACTAGGGAAAACTTGATGCTCCTCCCTGGGGGCAGAATTGGGGTGTCCTGGTGTTAGCTGCACTGTTATCGGACGGGAGGCGACACGGTGGACGGTGCCGGGTGGGGCCGGCCGAGGCCAGGAGGCCGCTGTCACACGCAGGGCTCGTGGGAATTCTCCCTCCCAGGGCGAGAGTCCGCTCTGAAGCGTGTGTCAAGCTCGCTATCAGCACAGATTCTTGCCAACATCCAAGCTGCACAAAACTGGTTGCACATCATGAAAAAATTTCAAAAAATCTGCTTCAGTTGGTGGGGTGGGGGTGGGTGGAGAAGAAATCAAGGTAGAGATTTAGAAAACAAACTCGGGCTGGACCGAGTCTAAGAAAACAAAGGAGGGCACATTTCAGGCCAAGCTTTACCCAAAGCTCCCAACACAAACGGCAGCTTCTGCAGAGAAACCTGCGTTGCAACTACAGATTCAAAAATAGCAGCCGTGGGAGCAGGAGCTTGGCAGGAGAAATAACAAAATCGAAAAGCTGCGCCAAAGTGGAGGATAAACAGAACGTCAAGCCAACAAAGGCCAAGAGAAGAAGTTTATTTCCTCTTTGGTTGTTGTGTTTAAAGGACGATGCCGGTGCCACCGAGAAAGCCCGCGGCCACGGCCACGGAGCTCACGCGCATGCGCCCGTTCAAGGGTAAACGCTCCATTACCGCGAGGGAAAGGAGCCGAGATATTTCATTCCAGATGACATCTGCATTAATTTGAAAGTCTTTTCCAATTAGCTTTCTAATTATATGAGTCTTGATCCCCTCCTTTTACCCCCCAAGCATAATGTTAAAGGAGAGTCATCCAAAATAATGGATGAGGAAATGAATTGTAGCTGAGAAGCAGTCTCGGGGGAACCAGGACCAGGGAAAGGGGTTTCCTCATTTGGTGCACCCCTACAGCCTCAATGTGCTCTTTGTACATAAAGATCTTGTCAAAGTTTATGGGAAAAAAGAGTGAAACAGACCAGAATAAAATTAGGTAGGTTGATGAAACTGGAAAACACGTATGGATTTGTGTATCAGGTTTTGTGTCTTCTTTTTCCTGCTGATTGATGGGGTACTAAGGTCAACACTGCTCTGAAGAGAAACCCCAATTGCTTTCCTACTATTCCATTTCAGATACCTAAACCTTTAAGTCAAATGACCAGTACAATCATTTTCTATGCCTAAATCAGAACACTTTCTTCTTGGAAAAAAAAATTGTATTGAGAGAGTTATTCTAAAATTCTCTGTTCTACAAAGTCATCTCATTTATTCACAGGTTAAGTTAGCAGAAGCAAACACCCATCCTCCCCCACTGGCACCCATGGGAGCTGGTACCCAGGAGACACTGGAAACTCCTGCTTCTTCTCCCGTCCTCCATGGCCTCATCACGACAAATCAAGTCACATGATAAATAGGAACTTTCTCATACAGCTCACGAGCCACCCTCGTGAGCCAGATAAAGGCTTTTCGGGGTATATCTATTGTTTAAAAGTTTAACAAAATCTTCCTGGAGTCAGGGAGATTTGATTAAACTGACATTCTTTGTGCAGTACAAGAAATATTTTGGACACGGAAGATCCTATTGTTATTGTTATTATTATTATTTTTTTTACTTCCAGTGAGACCTGGTCAGTTTATTCACTACAAGTGAACAGTTCCTAGTCCTCTTGCTGACATGGAAGGACGAGTTTGCCCCGCCCACGTTTGCCTTAGAAATACCCAGTCTTTGCGAACAAATAAATGCCAGTTACTCTACAAGCACGACAAAGGACTCGTCAAAGTAACTGAGGCTGTGAGGCACTGATACCCGGGGGCTTACCATTCTGCCTTTTGCTCCTTTGGGCCCGGTTTCTCCTGGCACACCTGGGTCCCCAATTTCACCCTAACAAATACAGAAAAATAAAATGAAGGGGATAAAAATCAAAGAGCGACAGCTCCGTGCGTGCTGTACACAGGATGCGTTCCAGGTGTGTCTTTGTCCTTGATTGTGCTTAAGGGTCTGCCCGGGCCCTGCTCCTCCTCACAGCTCCCACCTCTGCATGCTGCACCCACATTGTCTCGGCCGCCGGCTCTGCGGCCCTAGCACCACCTGAGTCCTCATGTTCGCGAGGGTATGAACTTGCCCTTTACTTTCTTGCCTGACCCTATCAGAGCACTTGGCATTTAGGGAGCTGGGGGATGGTTCCAACACATGGCACAGCCTGAAGGCGGAGGACGTCATTGCTAATGACGTGGGAAGGGGATGGAAACAAAGTGGGTAAACTGAGCCAGGGGAAATTGGATCCTGCAGTTTTCTGAGTATTTTACTTTCCTTTGATCAAAGAAGAAAATATACAATCGAGGGGGGCGGGGGAGAGGGAGGGGGAGGGGAGAGAGAGAAGTGTACATTTGAGGAGAAACATAAGGATGATGTTTTCTTCTACTAATTCAGAAACAAGACATGAAATTAAAAAAAAAAACAAAACTTTCTTGGGCCCTCCCTGGTGGCACAACAGGTTAAAGCACAGCACTGCAAAGCTGTCCAAAGCCACTGCAACTCAAGTTTGATCCCAGCCAGGAAAGTGACCCACATGGCACAGCAGACCTCTTCTGTCACCTGCTGCTCCCCTCAGTAGGATATTTCAGCCCACCTGCCAGTTCTGCTCGCCGCTCTGTTTCTGGTGGGTCCTCTCACCCCCCAACCTCTGACCTGTACCTGTACCACAGTTCTTGTATGTATAAGTAAATAAATCTTAAAAAAAAAAACAAAACACCCCAACCCCTTTCTTTCCTCCTCCCCCGCCTCTGAAGGTGTCTTTGTGTTAATTTGCAATTAGCTACCCTGCAACTGTCCTGTAGTACATTTTGTAGCCCCGGGCATCACTGCTTGACCTCAAGTAGGCATGAGTAAAGGGTACCTTAGGTCCACCTTCTCCAGGAAATCCTTCTTGCCCCTGTAATTGGCAGGAGAGAAAATTAATATATGCACCTAGCACCAAGGTAGGTTTATGTCAATTTTAATTTACCTCCTGCCTTATTCATTTAGGCATCTCTGAGCCAAGAAAGAACTAAAGCAACTCAAAGTGAAATTGTATAGCGGCATTTGAGAAACACACTAAGTTCTAAATGAAACTATTTACTAGTTTTCAAAAAATGAAAATCAAGAGAAGTGGACAAATGCATACAGCCGAGGCTTTTAAAACCAGTTCTTCTGCGGCAGGCATTAACAGGATAAGCAATTTGGACAGATGTCCCAGAAATGGTTATGTTAAAACAGAGTCCAGTGGAAAATTCGGGAAGTCTAGTGTCCACGTTTCAGCATTTATTTTGATTCCCTTTTACTTTCCCGTGGTTAAAGAGGCATGGTGATTTCCACCTGGTAAAGAAGTATTTCATTTAAAATATGTTGTCTCATTACTAAAAGTCACATCTCCTCTAATAAATATGAAACAAAAGAAAAACCCTCTACTTCTCATTGCCCTGAACTAGCCACCAGAAAAAAATCTGTCACACTTTCTGTTAGCTTTTTAAAATGCATTTTACCACAACTGGGATTTATTATTTCTTTTCATAACTATAAACATCACATACACGAATTTTAATCTTTTATGCAGTTAGCTTGTTTTTTCAGAGAAATTTTACCTCCCCCCCCTTTTTTTTAAAGACAGCTTCTAGCATTATCTACATTGGACAATTTCACTTGGGTTATCCCGACCCTTTAAAAGGGTTCGAACTTCAAGAAAAGTCTGTTTGTCTGGATTGTACCACATTCCTGACAGATGATCGGCAAATGAACGATAAAAACGTATCTCTAAATGCTGTTCCCTCTTAAGTGTGACAAGCGAACATCCCCTGCCAGCACACGTCTTACCTTCGCTCCTTTACTCCCGACGGCCCCATAACCCAGGCTGCCGTCATCACCCTGCAAGCAAAGCAATTCCTTACAAACGCCCCAGGCTTATTCCCAAGAAAACAAGACAGCAGCCCTCCGGTTTGAAGAAACGTGGAGGTGGATCACCCTCAGTGGCAGGCCACTGACATGGGGAGAGTGGACCGAAGGCCACTTGCTGTAACAGACTCTGCACTGCCCCTCGGTCTCACCTGAGAAAGAGGGAGCAATGATTATCCTCATGGTGTCACTAGGAGGTTAAATGACAAAGGTCCAGGCATACAGTAATCTTAGTGAAAGGAAGCAGCAGTCTTTTCTCTTCTGGTTAATACTTGTGTTTTAATTCCTTAGTTCTGATCCGTTTTCAGTTTGCTGGATAAGTATAAGACTTCCTCATCGCCTGGACCCCCCCTGGAAGACCTTACTGAGAATTTCTGAGATTGTGGCAAGGCTAGGCTGGGTTTTGGATGAATATTTTCTGGTGGCAGGAGGCTGGAAGAAGGCTATGGTGATGTTAAAGACCAGCACGTCTGTCTGGCGTCATGAGCATGCTGGCCGGACAGTTGGTACCTAGAAAGTTGCTGCATAGGAGAATCTGGCTAAGGAAGGGCCCCAAGATGAGGATGTGATCCCTCCACTGCTGGAAAGTTCGATGGGGATGGTTACTTTAAGGCTCTCTTCAGAGACCCACACTGGATGTCCACTGAACTAAAAAGCGGGCAAGGCTCCAAAGTAGTGATAAAACACAAACCGGCAAGCCTCGAAGGCCAGGAAGGCCGACGGCTCCTTTTCCTCCCAGGTCTCCAGGTTCACCCTGGCAAACAGAACAAAGGAAGGTGTCTTCATTAGGCTTTTTGGGAATAGGAATGAGAACTGATGACATGGAGACAATAGTTTTACTGTGATCATATGTATCACACACAGTGACACTGGACTGTGAGTCTGTGACCAGACCAGGTGGAAGGTGGAACAGCAGTACCAGGGGTGGGGACGGACCCTGGCCATGGTTCCAGGGTCTCCCCACTGATAAGAAGCCCCAGCGCAAGCTGCCATTGTAATTGCTCCCTTGGAAACAGGTAACCATGCGCCCCTTCACCTCCCTGGTTAAGAGTTACAAGAAAATCCACAGAATTGTCTTCAGGATGACCCTGGCAAATCTGGAGGCGGCTGCAGAGACAGCTCACTTATACATCAAGTTTAAGGGTGCACATCTGGGTCAAGGTAACCTGGTGGCGCAACAGGTTAAAGTGCAGCACATGAAGCCAGCCACAGCCATGGCAGCGTGAGTTCAGTCCCCGGGCAGAGAGCTGACCCACAGGGCTCAGCAGACCTCTCCTGTCTCCCTGCTGCTCCCCTCAGCAGTGTGTTTTAGTAGCTCCACCTGTTGTGCTCCCCACCCTGTCTCTGGTGAATCCCCTCACTCCCTGAACCCCCCACACTTCTGGCCTGTACCCCAGTCCTGTATGCATAAATAAACAAGTCTTAAATAAAAAAAGATATCCAAGCAGCATGACATTCCTGGCTGTAGTTTCATACAATGGAACATCTACTGTGGGTTTGAAAACAATCTCAGTAAGACGTTGAAGAAAGTCCAACTACTTGTAACAATAACACAGGCTTATAAAAGGTTAACTTATTTCATGAAACAAACCACTTTTAAGTTTTCAATAGCATTTGGTCTAGAGAAACATAGTGGCAACAGTGGAGAGTGCCTCCCTTCCCTGGCACTTTGCTCTGTGCCGAACCTCAGCTCGTGACCCCGCCAGGTGCACCTGTCCCACCCAGGGAAGCCATATTCAGCCCCTCTTTATTCAGACTTCCTTGGCCTTCCGTGTTGCCAAGGATCCCATCTGTCACGTCTCTTTAAGCTTCTCTAGACCATGACAATTTAGCAGATTTTCCTGTTCTTGATGACCTTGGCAGTTCTTAGGTATTTGGTAGAAGGCCTTTCAGTTGGAGTTTGCCTGAGATTTTCCTCCTGATTATTATACTAGGTTGCATGGGCTTAGAACAAGAAAGACCAGAGGAGACACACCATTCCCATCACCTCATATCAAGAGAACCCACTCTATGTGACTAGTTGTCACTGATGTCAGCCCTGGTCAGCTGGCTGAGGGAATGATGTCAAGTTCCTCCACTGGCCAGTGACTCCTGCTATCCAGATATACTCTGTTATGAAGTGTGGGGAAGTTATGCAGCCTGTGCTTAAGGAAGTTATGCAGCCTGTGCTTAAGGGAGGGGAGTGGCTAATTCACTTTTAAGGCTAAAAGGTAGCAGGTTAAGAGAGAAGTATGTCACAGAATGCCAGGGAGGAAACAGAACAAAGTTCCCAGGAAGGAAAGGAGTCACCGCCTTTAGGCCCGTCTTCCAGAGCAGTGAGTCTCAACAATGCGCTCTGGGGCCGCCTCCTGACCACTGCTTGGGGTCCCCATGGACAAGGAAAATTCCTCTCCTTACTGGTATCTATCTCTGGTAGTGCAGTCAAAAAAATGCCTTTTAAATGAGCCTTTGGGCTGATCTGCACGCTGGAATCTGAGCACAGCTGCGCATGGGCAGGGCAAGAGGTGAGCCATGCGGCCATCTGGGGACTAGGGCAGGGGGAGAGGTGAGCCACAGAGCCATCTGGGGACAAGCATCTGGCTGCTGGTAGAACCAGGCGCTACCAGGTGCTGAGCCCAGGACCGAGAGCCCAGTTCTCAAATCCCTGGGAACCAGGGATGTTCTTGTGCTTTAAGAGTCTTCACTCCTGAAGCTTCCAACCTCCCCACCTGGCTTTCCCACCCATGATTTCCTTTGCTCTACTTTTATCTGTGTCCCCAAGCCCCCTGCCTCTTATTTCCTATGTCCACTCAAGGTCTGTGTCCTCTAGGACACCCCTTTTCCCAGCCTGGAAATACTTCTATTGACCCTCTGCTTGAGCCTCCTCTTCAGTCCTCACTGTTTTGAGTCAGAGAATATATTGTCTTGAGAATATATTCCTAATGTATGAGGCTGATTCTCTGGCCTGTTTATCGTCCTTCAAGCCAGACCATTTTTCTATTAACATCTATTTACTTACTCTGTACCAGGTACTGTTCTTGGCACTAGGGTTACAACAGTGAGCAAAACAAAGATTCTGTTCTCCGAAAGCAGAGGAGGATATGATGGAGGGAAGAGGGAAGAAGAAAGGGAAGGAGAGAAAGATGTAGAGAGAGTTGGGGGGAGAAAGGAAAGCGTGCCCCAGCCTCACCTCACTCCCTGGGTCCCTCAGCTCAGATGGGGCGCAGCCCCCAGTGAGCCTGGTGAGCTGGCGTCCCTGACTGCACACACCCAGATCTTCGAAGGCTGCTGGCTCTCTAGGCATCCAGCCAGGGTACAGGGCAACGAGAGGCACTCCCCTGTGTTGAGAGGACTCTGGCAGTCACAGTTCCCTTGAGGACAAACCCGCAGCTTTGGTGGGTATGAAGAATGTCACCTACTTTATTTCCTTGGCTCCCCAAATGGCCTTGACTCCCCGCCCCTCCTTCTGGTCCTGGAGGCCCCTGAAAGAAAACAAGAATTGAAAATCTAGCAGAACATAAAGCATCTTCCCTTTAAGCATTTTTGTTTCTTCTAAGAGGAAAATGAGGCACAGATGGGGAAAAGAGTTATGGTTCAATTGACTCCTGCGCTGGAAAAAAGTATCACAGCTGTCAAGTAAAGACCAGTAAATAAAAGAAAATTAATAAAGTAATTCATGCCAGATGCTGCATAAATGACTGAGTTCCTTGTAAGTCTTCTCTTCCAAAGAAATTCTAGGTTCTCACCATTTCGTTCTTAGGAGCGGATGTGGTTAAAAGTCAAACACTGAAGGCCCTCCCTGGTGGCGCAGCAGGTTAAAGCACAGCATTAAGAAGCTTAAGCCACTTCAGCATGAGTTCTATCCCCGCCTGCCCTGGAGGTGGCCCACATGGCGTAGCAGACCTCTCCTGACCCACCCGCTGCTCCCCTCAGCAGTGTACTTTGTCGATCTGCCTGTTCTGCTCCCCACTCTGTCTCTGGTGAACTCTCTCACCCTCTGCATCTCTGGCCTGTACCCCAGTTCTGTATGAATAAATAAATCTTAAAAAAAAAAAAGTCAAACACTGAAAAGGCATTTGAAATGGCATCTGCCTTGACCTATATTACTATTATATTATTGCTGATTCCTTGCTTGATTGAAAATGATTTTTTTTAAGATAACCTTATCTGTATTAGCAAGCAATACGATTTATATAGTAGAAAGTTCGAGGAACTTTACTACAAATAATTAACATTCCGGTGGTCTAAGACAAGTGTTCCCAACTCCTTTCTACTGCTAAGTTAGAAAAGTAAAAATAAGTGAATTCCTAGTTACCAGTAGGAACTAAAACTGTCAACAGAGTAAATCTAACAAGGAAGGTATGAGACCTATGTCAAGAAAGCCACAAGCTCCTATTAAAGAATGTAACGAAACTTAAAACAGACAGATAAGCATACTCTGTGTCTAATTTGGAAAAGTCTATTTGATATAACAGAAGTCTCTCCAACATTTCCAGAAAGCAGGTTTTATTGGAACAGCTTTAGAAAGTTAAAAGAAACAAAAAGCAATTCAGAGACAGCACAACTATCTTCCTCTGGTATAGACACTCGAAACCAGATTTTTCCTTGGGGAAATCCAAATACGACAACTAAAATCTTTTTTGGTGAAACTGTTTAAAGTACTTGTAAACAATCCCAATACCCATGGACTGAAGTCATTTTCAGAATTTTTTTATGCCATGGTTACTATGATTTAAAAATAAATAAAGCAAATCTATATAATAAACATGACACTTAGCATATTAGTTTTGCTCGGTAGAAGAGACATGACATTCATCTTTTCATCTTTTAAACATAAAGTTGCTCATAAGATGTCTACTAGGAAGGACTGTTGTTGAACAATGACTGGTTACCAAGGGAGATAACAATCATCTTTCTATACTCTCCATCTCCCCAACCCTCTCCCTTTTCCAACTTAAAGTCTCAGTTTCTCCTGTCCCCATTGCTCTCCACCCACCCCCACGCCCTTCTAACGTCCAGCTCCAGTGTGCTGGCTTTTTAAGGGTAAATTTAACTATCATTCACATAAAGGTAAACATAACCTCCATGTTCAGCGGCTCCTACTGCTACGTTTCTGTCTCTACCTTATTTCAGTTTGGTCCTGTGTCCCGTGAAACACCACGAGAGCCAGGCTCACCCCCACGGCTCTCAGCCATCAAGTCTTGCCCTTTATTTGTCTTAAATCTCCACCTGTCCCAGGGCTTCATCCTCTTACCTTATTTTTTTCATCCTATATCCTCATCCTCTACAAAATGATGCCTAAAGCTGCATCTCCAGTCTGAACCACTCACCTCACACCTAATCCATGTATTAAAATGCCTCCTGAGTACCCCACAGGAATTGAAAGTGATTCCAAGACAATCACACTTATAGAGACAAGGTTCTGAGCCCCGTATTTTTTTAAATTAAGGAATGGTGGCACCCTCAAGTCTCCCTGAGGTCCAAGCCAGGAACCTGAGACTCACCCAGCCGCTGTTCTGTAGCTTCCCTCTGCAATCTACCTCCAGCCCCAGATGTCCTCTCCTTGCAGACCCCCACCCTGCCATCACTACTGCCGCCTTTGGCGCCTTCCACACCCGCCCCCGCCCCCCCCCCCCGAACTCTGGCCTCACTGAGTCTGGCTTGACTCTCTAAACCACTCCCTACCCTTTTCTCCTTTTGATCAAAAATGCCAGGCTGTTATTGCCACTTTGTGTGAAATCTGGGATTCTGAGTGTCTTTGAGAATAAAGTTGAAGACCTGCTTAATCTGCTTGGCAGGCAATGCACATTGTTGCGCTGTTATCGGGCCCTTTCTCGGATTAAAGACTGGCACTCTTTACAATGCTCCTGTTAAACGAGGTAATGTCGATGCATGTGGCAGTAATGGGAGCTATTGATCTAGTGCTTACTATACTTCTGGCACTATTCTGAGCAGCTACGTGCCTGAGTCATTTTAAATTTTTAAAATTTTTTAATTTCAGTATCATTGGTTAAAGTAGTGGTTAGAATTCTGGAATATCCCTTCAGGTGTAGTTACTGTAGCACACCCACTACCAGAGCCCATACGGAAAGCAGTTTGGAGTTTCCTCAAAGCACTGAAATGGATCTGCCATATGACCTAGTAATTCCATTCCTAGGTATCTATGCAAAGAATACAAAAACATGATTTTGAAAGAAAATTTGCATTTCCGTGTTCACTGCAGCACTGTTTACAATAGCCAAGCTAAGGGAACAAACTTAATGGATTCAAACAGCTGAGAAAAATAGGTGTGTACAGGCCCTCCCTGGTGGTAAAACAGGTTAGGACGCAGCACTGTAAGCCAGCTGCAGCTGCTTCAGTGTGAGTTCGATCCCCAGCCCAGGTGACCCACATGCACAGCAGACCTCTCCTGCCTCACCCACTGCTCCCCTCAGCAGTGTTCTTCATTGACCTGCCTGTTCTGTTCCCCATTCTGTCTCTGGTGAATCCTCTCACTGCTCCTGCACCGCTGGCCTGTACCCCAGTTTTGTATGAATGAAATCTTAAAAAAAGAATAGATGTGTTGAGCAGGGATCTACTCATTATGGCGGAGAAAATTTGAGGTGCAGAATGGTTAACTACCCAAGGCCACATAGCTAGGAAGTCACAAGTGGCAACCCTGGTCCAGATTCTAGGCCCTCAATCACTAGGCTATGCTTTACAAAGATGATAACAACAATCCTACACTGTATCACAAATCAGCACAGGTGGTACACAAAACTAATGATTATTTTACTAAAAACATACACAAACCTTCAGCATTTAAAAAGTAAGTCCAAATTAAAAAATAAATAAAAATAAAAAGCAAGTCCAGCTTAAATTGGACTTATTTTGTGTCTAATTTTCTATTTTTTTCCAGACACAGGCTACATTAGAGTAGGATCTTAGGGTGAGCCAAAGAAGAAGGGAGATAGGTATAAAAGAGGAAGCCATTTCTGTCTAAAGTCTTCCTTTTTTCCTAAGAATGGGCTATATTTCCTTTATATTCTAGCCAAACACTGGGTCAGACTGCACAGCTGGTTCATGCAGAACACATCAACTGCATAAATTAATAAGCTTCAGGATACTAACAGCAGACATCACAATTGCCTATCCGAACAAAAACTTTACACCCTGCAATCAGCAAATACTTGTCATTCCACACCAGTGGCTGATCCCTCTGAGTGTTAATAGGAAGTTTCTATGGCAGTGGATTTAGAGTGAGCAAAGAGTAACATTCTCCCGAATGTCCTGCCATGCCTGTCTCTGGTTTTCCTTTGGAAATGACAACCTTGAGGTCTCATTCATCATGTCCCGAACACAGGAAATTCTACATGTCTTTGAAACAGCATATTCACTGTGTTGACAGGATAGCGCAAGCAAGCAAAGAAAGAAAACCGCTTTCCAGCTAGATAACCACAGAACGAGGCTGGAGAGGGGAGCATTTTGGCAATGCCAGGCGGCTGAATGATTTATGGCCATAACCAAGCCTGCCAAGGTCACAGTAAGGGGACTCACTCGCAGATGAAGACTGCAGGGAAAAGCCACTTGGGTACAGTTTCGTATTCTAGAGGAAGAGAATTACTGAGCTCCTTGGACTTCCACCCACCTATAGCTCAATATTTTATATAAACAGATGAGCTAATCATCTGATATGTGTTTCCCTTGGCATTTACTTTTTTTTTTTTCTCAATTTCTGGTGCCAGCGAGTATTTAATGATTCAAGAATGTGAATGCAAAATAGTTATTTTTCATTAATTTAGTTCTATCATGAAATTTTATCATTTTCATGCTTTTTGAAGGAACACATTCATCAAAATTGGGAACAAATATCCTCAGGAACAGTAATTAATGTGCTTTAAAACACTGTCAAGAGATACAGGTTTATGCAAATAACTTCTTAGCTATTTTGATGAAAAACACATTCACTTACAGGCTGGACCACTGCCCAGGTTAACTAATGGACAGGAAGAAGTAGAGCCCTTCACCCTGTGTGAGCTGAGGACGCAAGTCCCAACTGAGTCTCATTCACTCATTTACTAATTTCATTTGTTCATTGACTAATTGCTTCATTATGCACACATGTGTTGTGCATGAGTGATCTGAGCTGCATGAGTGATCTGAGCTGCGAATACAGTACAGGAAGTTGTCACTTAACACAGGGAGCTCCGACTTCAAGTGAGAGGAAGCCAGTTTTAACATAAATATTGGATACAAATTACGAGTTAAGTCCCTACTGCATATCTCTTGTCTCAAAAACATCACCAAGCTTCTTAATAAAGATGCAAAACACATGTAATATCAAGCAATCATTTGTATTCATTCACTCACTCATTCATCCAACCACTCATCCATTCATCCATCCACCCATCCACCCAACTATCCAACCACCCATCCACCCAACTACCCATCCACGCATCCATCCAACCATCCATCCTCCAGCCAGCTTATTCCAGTTGTGGGTCGCAGGTGGCTGAACGTAGCCCAGCAGTTTGGGGCCAAGGTGGTAACCAACCCCAGACAGGATGTCCTTCCACTGTAGGACATGCACAATTGTCTCCCCTACTGGAGCAATGGAGACACTCAATGACCCTCACATGCACATTTTTGTGATGTGAAAGGAAATGCAGGAACCCGGTGAAAACCCACACAGATGTGGAGAGACACATGTCAACTCCACACAGTGCCCAGACTGGAGATCTATTTTTTTTCCTCATCAAAATGATAAGTAAACAACACTGAACAAAATGACGTTATTTGAGAGTCTGCTGTACAGAAAAACTAAGTCCTAACCCTCATGAAGTTTACAACCTAGAAGGGAAGACAGATAGTTAAGTGAATAAAAATATACTCTGATAGCACTAGGCAGAGTGGAGCGTGTAGGTCCTTGCTACTCAAAGTGTGGTCCTGGGACCAGCAACACTGTGATCACTTGGAGCTGGATGAGCATATTGGAATCACCTGGGGAGATTTTTTTAAAGTTTCTGATACCTTGGTCTCCACTCCAGAAATTCTCATCTAAGTGGTCTGGAGAGGGTCTCAGGTGTTTTACTGTTGGCCCAGGAGTTTCTCCTGTGGGGATAGGTTGATGGCGTCCAGTGTAAGCTGTGTGCTTGATGCGAAGCCCATGGAGGGTTGAGAGGAGCATGGGTGGGTCTCACAGAGGGGGAATTACCAGCTTCACAGCCATGGCTGTGCTGCCGTTTGCTCCACCTCGGTGCTGCCAGACACCAGCCCGCTCTTGCAGGGGACCTCACAGTCAACGCACAGAGTGCCAGAGGCAAACATAATATACTTCACAGCTTCCCACGCGGAAAGCAACTTCACCCGCAGGGAAGAAACCACCAAGACAACCACCTGGAAGCCAAGGTCAAAGCGAGGGACAGTCACTTTCTCCTGTTACATACCTGGGGACCTTTACTTCCCAAACCTCCTTTTTCTCCTTTGATACCAGCCTCTCCTCGTAGACCCTAAATACATAGGATTAAAGCATTATTTTCTCCCTAAAAGAGAACATTTGGATATAAACATTATAAATGGAAATGCTGCATTAGGGACAAGGACCAAACCTGGAAAGACGCCCTCACACATGCTCCTGAGTTCTGGAGTGGCGGAGTCCCCTGTGTGGGGACTTGCTGGTCTAAGCTGAAGTTCAGGCAGCCAGGCTTTTGCTGCCAACGTCGAGAAATAATGAACAGGCGAACTGTTCAGTACTGCTTTATAATTACTCTAGTGCTCTCTGCACTCCAAATACATGCCTTTCTTAGTTCAAGAGTAATCCTGAGTTGCTAAAAATCTGATATATTTAAGTGGATTTTCTATCCATCAACCACACCGAAGTGGGGTCAGGCACAAGATATGGCACACAGTAAAATGGACTTAGGGTATTGTTCTGGACTATTACATTGTCTGTTCATTCATTGTACAGAGATCTTGTGATGTGTATGTTTGTTTTTTTTTTTTTTAATCTCTCTTTAAATTAGGTCATGAGGAAAGACAGTCTATAAAATGGAAGAAGGGATGTTGCTATATTACTGGTTTAGCATGAACGAAAGTAAAGCCAGGCCAACCAGTTCTCCTGAAATGCTTCTCCCTCCCCTCCTTTCCAACCCCAAAAGAGTGGCAAATATCCTTCACTTGGAAATAGAAAAAGTGACCTTTCGCCAGCAAGTGAAAGGAAAGGAATCAACCAAGAAAGAGACAGAGGCCCATAGGGCAGGGTCTTCGCTGGTCTGAATCTTGGTACAAGGTGTGCAAACTTTCTCTTCTGAAGTCAAAGGAGACTTGCCCAACTTCCATGCACTGAAATACCAACATACAAGAATCACTCTAATTTTTTTTTTAACTCTATGGATTCGAACTTTGAAAACCATGGCTGATTCTGTGGTTGCCAGGCAGCAGAATTATTTCTCAGGTTTTCAGAACAAAAAGTTTGGGGAGGGAAAAAAAATCTGTGTTCTGACTTCCTGAAGACTATCTTTCCAGCATTTTCTAAGACTTCCCTTTCCCATCCTGTTGCTATTTTATGCACACACGGCCTTTTCTGGCACACGTTTCCTTTCCCCTCGTGTGACCAGTGTATAGAGCCAACCGTGGCTTATTCCTGAGAAAGGAAAAACTGCTTGAGTCAGTTCCCTGGAGAAGGGAGCTGGAGCTCCCGGGCTGCACGCTGCACCTCAGGTCACAGTGTGAGAACCACAGCTGTGGTGGAGCAATCCTTTCCTAGAACAGAGCCAACAGGCTGCATTGTGGGCATCCAGATGTGTAACACCAAGCCTGTACTATGCGAAACTGACCCATATTTCCTCTTTCAGGGCTCCCTATTTCTCTTGCTCAAGGTCTTTCCAGAAAGCTGAGGCCACTGTGAACCCATAACACCCATCACAGAGGGATAACTGCTTAGTTCTCCTTCTCTTTTCCACTGTTGATGAGACAGAGAGGAGTAATGCTGTAGGACCCTGTAAAGAGTTAACACATCTGCAAGGCTCGAGTGCAGGGGTTCTATCAAGATTTCAGGTTTCTCTTTATGTTTTTACACCCTTGTTATGCTTGATATTTACCTGAGGGCCCTTAAATCCCAGCGAGCCTTCAAAACCTTCTGGGCCTGGGATGCCTGGCTCCCCCTGTGATGAGAGAGAATCAACCTGTAACACCGTTTCCTGAGAATTTAGTCTTCTTTATCTATAAGACTATAAAGTTTTTTTCAGTCACAATGGCAGTATGGGATCTCTGCAAATGTGACACATTTTAAAAAATGCAAAGGAAATAAAATCTTCTACAATTTTATCAAGCAGAAATAGCCACAGCTAATGCATTATTGTATCTGCATTCTCACAAACTTTTACTAAAATAATATTTATATACAACTTGGACACTTGGTCTGAAAAACAATTTGCTTCCTACTTTCTTTAAACCTCTCCTGGCATCTTAAAATATTATACTCAAATAGATTAATTATCTAGGGATCAAGAGCCGAGTGTTCTCTTCATACTGTCCTTGAACTCTGCTGCAGATACTAATTCCACAAAAGAGTGAGAATGAATTGAGAAAATTTCATTTTGACAACTTTAAGATAGTAATCATTTATGTTTCAGTTGTTACACTACGTGGATATGATTAAATAGCCCTCATTGATACCTTGCCCTAGAAATCAGGAGTAGAAAATTTCTTAATACCACTTCTCTCGATTTCATTTATTTCTGACTTTGTTGAAGTCTCACCTTAGAGTGTGTGTTTGGGGTAATGTCTGAGTGTTTATCTACCTGACAGTGTCTATTCTACATTCATTCTAGTTTAGCTAGATATAAAATTCTAGGTTATCTGTTACTTTGCCTTTATAACACAAAATATTAGCTGGTTTTATAGCCTTTATTACTGTTGAACAGTTGCAATCAATTTGTCATTCCTTTCATGGGTAAAACTGTTTTTTCTGGTAATGTTCCTTTAACATTCTGGAATTTCACCATGATGTAATCAAGAATGGATTATTTATGCTCACTACATTTTCAATATATTTCCCCAATTTTGTGTCACTGTAAGTGACAACTGCCCCTTCATAAATATTGCAGGCTTATGAAATATCAACAACGTGAACAAATGGGACATGTTAACATACTTAGTCAACATTTTGAATAAGACATTTGAAATATCCCAGTTGTATTCAAGTTTTACCATACTCTCTTAAGTGTAGTCTGTGCAAATTTTATGGCTTTAGAGTTAACTGAACAAAAATCAAAAATGTTACCCACTAAGTTATTAGAGTTTCTACCTTAAACCCAAATTTAATAATTACTGAGACAAGTAGTTATCCCTGGCCATTAATTTTTAAAGTACTGATTAAAGTGCTCAAATTTTCATTTTCTTTCAAGATTTGAGTTCTTAAAATTGTAGCCCAAAATGTTTTCTAATATTCTATTACACAGCCAATATCATAAAGAAGCAAACAAACTCTAGACTTGGAAGAGATTTGACTCCAGCCATAGACTGGGCAGGGATTACATGCCATTTGGCATTAACAATAAATCACTGTACCTGTGGGCCTGGTAGTCCTCGTCGGCCATGAACTGCCTAAAATAGGAGTAAAAAAGGCAGGTTATTATTAACTCCGGAAAAAAGCTTTTCATATTTTATTTAAATTAGTAATGAACCTTCCGGGGCTGACATTAAAAAACAAGTTTCTACATATTGCTTAAAACATTTAATTATCCACTGCACCAAGAAAGCAAAATGTTCTCAAAATGTTCTGAATTTCTATCCTATGGCAATAGGTAATTAAAATCAAAGGCAATTAAAATCTGTGGATCCTTATGAGACCAGACTGTGGACAATAGCTAATGGTCCACTGAATAGTTGTTTTAGCTATTTTCAAGCTCCAAAGTGGACTTATTTAAGTATCTTTCATTTTTCCATGAAAGATATAAATCAGGAGTGATGTGGCCAAAATGCAGGACTCTAGAGGAAAAACAGAGAATTAACTTCGCGAACTTTTTTACAGATTAAATTAGCAGTGTAAAGAGAGCCAGACTATTTTGTTTCCCTACCCTCAAAGCCAAATATGATTATAAAAAAAAAAAAAATCAAATGAACTAATCATCCTAAGTACTCAAAAATCACTCACTTAGTTCTAAAATATCCAATTAAAAGCATATCACCTAGTAGATTTTCCTACTATTTTCATATGTGACATTAGGATCTGGGTACAGTGCAGATGAACATTTCCTAAATTTAGAAATTAAGAAACAAAGACGTCTTGCTGTTTAACTTAGGCTGTCTCAGTCAGGTTATAGTAAGACTGATGTCTAGCATTTGCAAAATTCAATAAATAGCAAATAAATATCAGCATTTTCTTGAATGGAAAGGTAAGATAACCAGGCCTCTGCCAGAATTGTCAACGTTAAACCCAGCTAATCATATTTCAGTCAAAATGCATTGCTCTAGGAGGCAGCTGTATGTTTGGGGAAGCGATCAGAAGCCTATCTCTTTAAAATCCTGGTGAGTCATCTCGATAATCTGAATCTTCTCTATCAGCAGGAGGAAAGAAGCTCTTTCCAGTGCTTCAGCACAATTATCCTGATTCTATTCACTTTAGAAAAATATCTACCAAAGATTTATTACCTATAAAGCCTACTGGATGGGAACCACAGGAGCATGAAGAGGACACAACCATATGCACATGCACAGTACCTGGTCTCAGGTGACTCTTGCTCTTTTGATTCATGGGGAACAGATAAATATTAAAAATATCTACAAGGCAGTGTCTGGCCAGAACAAAGAAAGGGAAAGACAGAGTTCACATCCAGTAGAGCAAATCAAGAAAATCTTTCTGAGAGAAACAAGACCCCAGCCAGAGTACTCAGTCCTCTGGTCCCACAGAGGCTGACTTCCTGGTGGCTGACCAGTGCCCAATTTCCTAGTTGGCTAAAGACTGACTTGGGACAGGGTCCCCGGGGCCAAAGCAGTATGTTAACAGTGACATCACGGTAAAATGGCATCTTCGTGGCAAGCTCGTACTGAGCCACTGTCCCAGCACACTTCCAGCTGCCCTAAGCAGTGTCAAGAGAGGGGCGAAGCATAACTAACAAGCCTCTGGACTGAACAGGACGGAGGGCTGTGCTCAGCTGGAGGCATTGATTCTCATTAGCCATGGCACAGGAGTCTCTTCTAATTCAGAAAGAGCCAATCCACTTCCTACTCTTCCCGCTCTAGTCACTGCAGCTTTCTGAGTCTCCTCACTCTCCACCAACACAAGCCACTGCAGACTGGCAGAGCACTAACAGCAGCTTGTTACCAACTCCCCTACCCCAGGCCCAGCAACTCTACAACACGAGTCCCCACTGCGAGAGGAGAGCTAAGCCCCATCCTCTCCCCGGGACACTTGGCACTGCCTAGAGAACATTGTTATAGTCACAAGTCAAGGATGCTACTGGAACCTGGTGGGTAGAAGCCACAGTGATACCTGACACAATGCACAAGACAGCCAAGTTGACAAAAAAAATCACTCTGCCCAAATATTAATAGTAGGTTGAGACACATGCTCTACAGCCTGATCCTTATTTCCTTGAGAGCAAGGTTTATGTCTTATTTGAGTTTGTAACTCCAGTAGTTAGGGGAGCTCTGGTACATTGTAGGTGCTCAAAAATGTTTGCCCAATGAATCGAGACCAAATCTGCTGCCACTTTCCTGCCTTCCACACCCTTCCACCAGCCAGTCTCCAGTCACTCATTAGTTCAGGAGATTCTTGTTGCACTGAGGAATCCCTAACGCTCTTCATTATTCAGTTTTTCAGCGAGTGAGATTTTTCTTCTTTCCAAAAGGATAATTACCTTACTCCTATTAGAAAAATGACACGTTGACTTTGAAATCTCCAAATGCAGAAAATACACAGAATAAAGATGCCGAAACATCCCGGATCCTTCATGTAGAAATAACTATCATGAGCATTTGGTAGTCATGGTATCTTTTTTGCATGTTTGCAAACTGAATTCTAAATAGTGGTACTTTTAATTAAGATAGGATCACACTGTTCTAAAATTATATTTAATTTTACTACAATTTAATAAATAAAACTCAAAAGAATTAGAAGTCTCAGTATTTCTTGGCAGCATTTCTTGACAAGAGATTATCTACTATTAAGAGAGAAAAAATTATGAAAAAATATAGGGGGTTCAGGTACATTTGTAGTAAGTGCTCTAGCTTGAGGATATTTTGACAATGATTCAACAATGAAAGATGAAGACATAACCTTTTGTACTTTTCCCACTATCACACAACTTTCAGATTGTCAAATGTAGAACATTTACATTTTTTTCCCAGTGACCTATGGCTTAGTCTAATTTTGACACAGCGATTCAAATTGACCATCATAAAATTTTATAGAAGGAGTCTAGGGGTCCATACTGCCTAAGCTTTGATTGTGTTGACTAGTCATATATTTAGAGGACAGCTTGGGAGGGTATAAACTACTCGTAACTCTGTAGTCATTCTTTGAATGATGAGAGAGGGCTGTAGACCAAGTTCCCTATCTTTTCTGTTAAGAAATGCTCAGACTTTATATACACTCTGTATATAGAGTCACTTAGACATGGCTTCAGGTTGATATTCTTGTACCATTTCCCCCCAGAGAACATGCTTTTTCTGTATCTTTGAATCTTTGTTTCAAGATGTTACCTTCTTTTTCTGATGATGTCTTGTATTTGTTCTGTTCATGCTAATAGCACAAGCTGCACACTGGCTGGTTCCCCACTGTCTGTACCCCACCTCTACAGTGCACTGGCTGGCTGCATCCTCAGGTGTCTTCATTTATTTCTGATTCTTTTGTTTCCCCCCTTCTGGTGCGCTCCCAGCACTGTCAGTTTGCAGTTTTCGCTATGTTGTCAGTCCTTCAGACACTTCTTTAAAAAGACAGTCATGTTGTCTAATTTGCTTTTGAGACTGGAGAATTTTTGCCAGAGTTGTTCTGCTTTTTCCTTGAATAACTGCTCTACGAACGGGGGTTTGTCTGCCCTTTGCTTGTGTAGTTTTCTGCTCCTCTTGCAATTTCTTATGTTTTGGTCCTGATAACTCATCTGATTAATAATAAAAATGAATACTATTTCTGCTTATTAATCACCGTTGAAAGGAGCCACCCATTTCTGTATAACTAACTGCAGGAGGTGTTATAGCCGTAGTTGGTCAATAGCTCTGGTAGAGAACCTGACTCAAACATCTTAGCAAGTAAATTCTTTCCTTTATCTTACAGTTCCTTCTCTCTGCAACTTTTGGTACTTCAGAGACTGTGGAATTCACACAAAATCCCAAAAGTCACAATTTCTGAAGTAGAGTGCTAGCTGGAGACAAAAAAAAAAAAGGAATTTTCTTCATTTCTTGCCATTATGTCTCCTCTGCCCAATAGCGTTTCTACTGGAACGTTCCTTTTCTTCTCACAACCTACAGAGCCTCTGGATTTGGCTCACGATGTTTTGTGGGGGACCTACTCCTGGAGGACTCTGAGTACTGCTTGAGGTCTCAAGTGGCAACTGGCAGCTCTCCCCCACCTTGCTTCGCCCAAATCAGGATCCAGATTCAACAAGAGTTGGCCAAAACTTGTTGTCATTTGTAGTCTAATATTGCGATTTTTTTTAAGTTCATCTGTTTTTAATTTCTTGTGTTGATTTTGGTGACTTTAAGAAAAAAAAAAACACCTTGACTTGGCTGTGTTTAGACAGAAGTTGTCCTTTTATCCCTGAATGACACAGCTGAACCCATAACCCAAGATAGGGGTCATTATTTCTCAGAAGCTGTGTGACTTAAGCGATGCATGGTGACATGGCGCCGGCTTCCGAAGAGACCACAGGCTCTATAAAGCAACAAAAGCACATCTCCCATGCCAGGATTTTTTGGATGATATTCTTTAAGTTCAAAATATTTTCCTGGGGTATGTAAGTTGGCTACACCCTTTCAGAAAGTGAAATGAATAGCAAGTACATTTCTTTATCTTTAGCTGCATTCAAATGGCAATAGCAATGCTTTTCCCCAGCAATCAAACTGCACATTTTATGTGTAATTTCTGTCAATATTTCCACTTTATCTGCTCTGGAAAGAAGACTATGTTTTAAAATAAAAATATTTTCTTGATGAAGTATAACAGCTGGGTCTATGAACTTCTAATGCCCAGAAAATACAATGCAGAATAAACACAATATATTAAGCTAGTTTTTTTTTTATGCTCAACTTTAAAATACTTTTTTGGGGGGGATGGGAAGCTGGAGAAGATGGATAATGAAGTAAGGAATGGGAAAAAATGTTGCCAAATGAGAAAAGACTGGTCTAATTTAGAACCTAGTCTAAGTACTGAAGTATATTTTATTAAAATCACCTCTTTTGATTAGATAAAGATTTTTTCTCACAGTTTCTGCATTTCCAAGAAGTCAACACAGTGCATTTTTTAAAAAGTCCTCCTCGAGAAAAAATAAAAATACTCCCAAGTTTCCATAAGCAAAGACAAGAGACCTAATTTTATTCTTAGATATTTTTATGCCTATGGAATTATCTTAAAAGTGAATACAAATAAAAACCAGTATATGGCATTTGCTAAGCATTGGACTCTCTGGGCAGAAATTCATAGACCCAACAGTTATCCTCCACCAAGAAAGTATTTCTGCATCTTAAAACATATTCTTCTTTGCAAAGCAGAGCACACATAAGTAACAGGAGAGGCCTTACACCAGAACTGACTTTACCAAGTAGTTTAACGCCAAGCAGAGGAATGGATTTCTGGATTTCGAATGACATCCCTGGCCCTCAGCCGCTGGCCAGTGGATCACACCTGACCACTCTTCCTCTGTGTGGCTGCTCTCTCCTCTCTGCCCAGCCCTCCCTCCTGATCCTCTTTCCAGCCGGTACCTTCTTCAGTCCTTGGTCAGCTCTCTTCCCAGCGATGACCCCGGCCAGTCTCCCCCAGGGAATGAGCCAGTGAACCATCCCTCTTCCTCCCCACCATCAACCATTTCCATCACCGACGGGCTGGCAGAAAGGAGCTTACTGTCTTTCTTCTGGAGCCTGGAGTTCCAGGGGGGCCTGGCCAGCCTCTTCTACCCTGTTGAATGAAGAGACAGATGGGACAGTGATTACCCCGCACTGACACATTTCCTCTTCACTCTCAGCTCGTGTGCTGCAGGGAGGTGTGTGGGCACACAACAACAGGAGTGGCACCTCCCTCTGCAAGGAGGCATTAGCTCCACTGTCATAAATCGCAGGTCTACATGGTGATGGGGGTGACAGAGCAGAGTGCTAGCGACAAGCCTTCAGCTGCTTCACTGCTGTCCAGCTTGTGTTTGAGGTGCAAGTCACAGGCGTTTCAAGTCAAGCCATCCCACTGTATCACCACAGAAGGGCTCACAGCTCAGGCATGGCTACGTATGGTTTGGAATTCCACCTGTGTCTAAACCAGTGCACTAACAGCCTCATGCAAATAAGATGTCCTAATGTTCATAAGTATCCCCGAGAGAGGAAAGGAGAGAATTATGAGCCTCGAGTGGGGCACTCACCCCTTGGTGGCAAATGACAAAGCCTATTTAATGTTTACTTTCTACAAGTAGAAAGTTCTTTCTACTTGGAGCAGACTTCTCCTCTAGGGAGAGTCACCAAGGGATCTTCCCCATCAAAAAGACCCAGAAATTCATTTCCGAGGTAAGTTTATTTTTTTTCAGTTGTAAATTTTTTTGTTATTATTTTTTTAAATAAATAGTAGAATAGTTTATTTTTACATCATTTTGTGCAATTTTCCATCTCATTTGCAATCTCCGTGGGCTTCCCATCACCAAATCACCCGTGTGCCATCACCATAGTCCAGTGCATTTCCCTCCCCTCACTGTTGTTGATCCCATTCCCCACTCCACCCCCATAAACTGGCTCTGCTATATAGCTGTTCATTATTATTGTTATTTTCTTGCCCAGGTAAATTTGTAAGTCCTGAAAATCAAGATCATCGAACTATGACTTGTGAGAGTGCATGAGATTAATTGCTTTGAGTTAAAGTTCTACTCTTTATCGCATACTGGTGTGGATATGGGATTCTGGGAAGATCAATAGCTCTTTTTTTTTTTCCTGTCAGCTAGTCCTACATTTTAAGTTAAGAGTTTTGATGTCACCATTCAAAAGTGAAGACTTTAAGAGTATAGCTTATTGAAACTAATTACCCTAAATTCAGAAGATGACAACTATTTCTTGAATCATAAAGTAGTAGCCAGGAGGAACAACAACAACAAAAAATCCTTTGTTCCCCCAAATAGCTTTTCTGTATCAAGTATATATGCACTTAGATTCCAAATTCTCTCTGTGCATTTCATCTTCTGTCACTGAGTACTTGCATCTCATGGTATCTCATCATCATTTTACACGTTTACTCTCAAGCGCCCGCATAATTACTTGTCTTCCATGTTCTCCTTTCAAGCCCTTGGGTCCTTCGATGTGACTGTCAAATCCAGGAACTCCCTAAAAGAAAAGAGAAAAATGAATCTATATTGAACATTTCTCCTCAGAAGCATAACTCATAGATGATACACGAATTACCCTGCCACAAGAAAACTGGGCAGTGGAATCCATCCCACTTGAAAGCAGAAACAGGTGAACATTATAAATGGTTTACATGTGTTTTCTTTTCCTCCTGTAATATGTATTGTACAAGAGTGGAGATCTGAGGTGAGAGTGTCCGGGAAAAGCAAGAACGCATGACAGAAAGGCCTGGCCCAGGGAAACAAGGTGACGTGAGCTGTGCTTGTAACAGCACGTACCTGGGCCCACAGATGCCCTTCTTGCTCCCCACTTGCCCTAAGCTTTTTCTTGGTGCCCAGGCAAGTTTAAACTTGAGGGATGGGGGATTTTACTCTCATCTGCCCTTGGGAAGCAGAAGTTTGTAAAGGATTCCTCCAAGTTTTATGTGTATTTGGAGCAGTTCTGAGGGTGGAATCTGCTACACTGCCTCTTTTTTTTTTTTTTTAAGATTTATTTATTTATGCATACAGAACTGGGGTACAGGCCAGAGGAGCAGAAGCAGTGAGAGGATTCATCAAAGGCAGACTGGGGAGCAGAACAGGCAGGTTGATGAAATACACTGCTGAGGGGAGCAGTGGGTAGGTCAGGAGAGGTCTGCCAGACCATGTGGGTCACCTCGGGTGGGGGGTCAAACTCGTGGTGCAGCGGCTGTGGTGAGCTTTATGGCGTGTGCTTTAACTGGCTGTGCCACCAGGGAGAGTCCCACACTTCTGGTTACTTCCCACCCCCATATGCTCACTCGTATTTTCTGGTTTCCAGAAAATCCTGAACTCTTTGAGTTTCCCCTTATGTTCACACACACATTCGAGCAGGGTCTCAACGCAAACAGGCACACATTGTGGGGTACTGTCCTCAGCAGATCAAGCTTCTATCTTGGCTGGTAAGGACCAGCAATGGAGCAGTGTCACTGGGATGCCAGGGCAATCAATTGGGCCAGTCAACTCAGTCAATATGCCAATAAATGGAGAGGGGACAACAATTATCCAGTCCTGTTGAGTACCGACTGTCTGACTGTTGGGCTGATAGCAGCCTAGATTGCCTTCATCAATCAATAAGTAATTTGAGATCACCAGCAGGGACATGTCATTACTCCAGATACTTAAAAGTTTTTTAGACATGTAGTTTCCACACTTAGAACTTGTAGGCTAAAGGAATGAAAAAGATGGGCTTAGAATTTACTTTTACAGTTGACCCTGCTGACACATACGAAAGGTACTTCTTTCTCCCTACATATCAAAACCAAAGGCCATTTTCACTTTCTCTCTGAAGTTCCAATATTTGTTCTCTAAACAGGGTATACCTAAATGACAATGTAAGAAAGCTGTAACTAGTGAAAAAGGCAAGGAAAAGGCCCTGAATTTTATTCCAATGGATGTGTAAACTTCGTATTGTAGTTCAACGCTGAACTAATTGATTGATGAGATGACATTCAAAAAATAATACAGAGCAGCACATTCTATAGAGTTGGAATCATGATTTACATTCGGATCATTTGTTTGAGTAGTCTGAATATGACCTGGTACAGTCCTTCAATTTCTATGCAACAGGACAAAAGAACATTATCTAACACAAGTTTATGATTAAATATGGACTTAGAATGAAGAAGCTTAGAAAAATGACCGAAGTTCAGTTTCCTTCCAACACTACATGAAATTAAAAAATACTTATATCATGAATGAAAATTCCAAACAGCCTAATTAGCTTTTAGGTCATCAGAAATTCTTTCTGAAAAAGCATAACTTTTCAGGAATTTGCAGTACTTTTATGCATTCCTGTGAACAGTATGATCATGTGTTGTTCTATTCCTTCTATCAGACTTGCTCTTGTCAACTTTTCCTGAAATAGTAACCCACATGTGAAAAAGCACAGAGTTGTCTTCAGTTTGAGATATATATATATATTACTCCCACATTAGTAGAGCAATAACATCACAGAGAAATTTTAGTGGGTTGACTTTTCAGCTATCGTTAAGTTATAGAACAACTTTTTAAATAAAAATTCTTTGTTATTTATTCAGATTTTTAAAAAGGCATTATCTAGATAATCACAGGCACAATTTAGCAGACAATCAGGTGATGTCCTGATCAAACTGAGTGGTAATTTTATAGGAAGACCCCAAGTGAGTTTCTGGCCATTGCACGTAAGAACTGAAATTTCTTCATATCTGACTTTCACTTCATAATTACCCTGACTTGTGGGTAGGGTTTTTGATACTTTGAAGTTGTTTGAAAACTCTCAGCTACCAGTGCTGGTTTCAAGTGCAAATGCCTCTAATTAGACAGAGACATTTACAGTGTATACTTAACATTGACTTTTTTTTTTTTTTAAGATTTATTTATTTGTGCATACAGAACTGGGGTACAGGCCAGAGGCTCAGGGGCGGCGAGAGGCTTTACCAGAGACAGAGTGGGGAACAGAACAGGCAGATAGACGAAGTACACTGCTGAGGGGAGCAGCGGGCGGGTCAGGAGAGGTCTGCCACGCCATGTGGTCACCTCCGGGGCAGGCGGGAATCGAACTCATGCGGAAGCGGCTTTAGCTTCTCAGTGCTGTGCTTTAACCCGCTGCGCCACCAGGGAGGGCCAACATTGACATTTTTGAAGAATTATTAAAAGACACTTTTCTCTGATCAAGCTGCTGTGAACTGAACAAGGAGTCAGCAAAGACCAAGTTCCATGAGATTCCCAGCTGCCCCCTCATCCTAGTATTGTCCTGGCTCTGAGCCACTCCAATGTGTGTAGAGAGCTGTTCCTGTCCCTTGCTGGAGGAAGTGTGAATTAGCGTGGACTTTTTCTCCAAAAAGAGAAAATTTGTTACTGTTTGACTGTAAAGATTTTAGTTGAATATAGGTCTACAAGTTATGATCCAAAATTCTACTCCTAAATATATACCTCACAGACGTGTGCACAAAAGCTACGTGCTGTGGGCTCGCCCTGGTGGTGCAACGGGTTAAATCACCTCATTATCAATCTCTCCAAAGCCACTACAGCTTGATCCCCAGCCAGGAAGCTGACCCACATGGCGTGGCAGACCTCTTCTGACCCGCTTGCTGCTCCCCTCAGCAGTGTACTTTGTCAATCTGCCTGTTCTGTCCCCACACGCTCTCTGGTGAATCCTCTCACCCACACCTCTGGCCTGTACCCCAGTTCTGTAAGCATAAATAAATAAATCTTTTCAAAAATGGTAAGTGCTGAAATGTTCACAGCAGCACTATTCACAAAAGCGAAAGCTGGAATAACCCAGCTTTACCAACAGTAGATTGCATGACTAAATCCTACTTTATTCATGCAACTGAATACCACACAACTGTAAGAGTGAATGGACTGCCGTTCTAAACAGATGGATCTTACAAACATAAACTTACTAAAGAAGCAAGAGAGTGAGTCCTACATAATTCCACTTACATGAAGTTCAAGAGAATTTATGATACTGGAAGAACGATGACTTTGGGGAAGGTTGGATTGGCACAGGGGAAGGGGACTTTTTGGTGTGTTCTATGCATCTGGGTGTGAGTAAATGTCTTCACATCAGAGGAAGATGAATGGGCCAGAGTCCTTCATAGCTCTAAAGCACTAGGCTACTCCTGAATGTGTCATCTCAGGCAAGACCTGCACAAGTCCTGTCTCAGGCCTATCACTGCCCATCCTCACTGTATCCATCCTCATGGTATATGCAGGGGATTTAAGTCAGGGAGGGGCTTGTAAAATTCTCTAACAACTGGGATGATTTAAGCTCAGGGTTGCTACTGCAGCACATTTAAAAGGGGGATGTCTCTCGCTAGTGGGGAGCAGATGGGAACAAGCCTCATTGTTAGTTCACAGCCCCGCATCCCTGGCACTTACAGGGTCCCCTCGATGGCCTTTTGCTCCATGGTCACCAGAAATCCCTCTCTTTCCTGGACTTCCCTAAAGTTAACACAAATCAGAACAAGTATTTTAAACAATATCCATAAAAAGAAGGAAACATAGATCTCACCTTCTGCCTGGCTTGCATAATTTCAAATAGTGATATTTTTTCTACTAAACTGGAAAATGAAACAACCAAAAAATAGTTTCAGGCATCATATGAATAATTGAAGAGTGAGCTCAATATGTGCCACAGTGGCGAACTCTGTGTTCCAGACACATTCGTTGTCAAGTTGAGTTTTTACAAGTACTTTATGAACCAGGTATTGCTCATTATCTTTCTCTTAATAAGGTGGCCGTGAGTCAGAGATGATGCCATTTTCCCAACGTGGTTGCATTAGCTAGAAAGTAGGCTTCTGACTCCCCTGCTCCCACTCTAAAGAGCAAGAAGGCAATGCCACGGTGGGTCTCTGTTCTAGATGGCAGTGAGTGGCACAGACCACTACCCTGAACCAGTAACCCGGCCATCAGCTGAGGCCTGTGAGGCAGCTGTCTTTCTTTATAGCCAGAGTTGGCATTTTCCTCTGTGTCCATGCCCTTGGCCATAGCCCTCTGCTGTGCTTTCCAACTGTGGTGGGAGAGATTCTCCACATCTGATACTCTCATGACTTCATTTGGCCTACAGAGCTGGCAGTGTCCCTGCCAAGTTCCAAGTCTAGGCCTCAGGCTCTTGAGCGAGCTTGTGTGTTTCTACTTGCTCCCTTGTGCTTTTGCCTTGACCATGGCAAGGTCATGGCCAACCTGGCCAGATATGCACTAAAGTTCCAGGAGGAAGGAAGAAACACATGGAACAGAGCCCGAAGCCAACCTACAGACACACAAACTTTGCCATGTTCTGTCTAGGTCAGTTGAAACTTTTGAGACAATTACTAAATGTTAAGATATAAAGGTTTATTGCTATGTGAGGTAGAGACTTTCTAGACTGACTGTCTCAGGGCAATTTTGTGGCCCCAGCTCACACAGTTGTTCTACTCCATCCATCACATCTTTAATTCCCAGGACAGTTTTCATGTTGTCCCTTTATTGAATCCCTACCTGGGCTCCATCATCACCCTTCTCTCCTTTTCTTCCAGGAAGACCACTATGACCCTAAAAAAACAAAGAAAAAGTTCAAATGTCCATTTTCTTAGTAAGAAAGGGATCAGAAAGTCCTTTATGTACCAAGAGAAGACTCTACCTGTTCTCCACTTAATCCATCAATCCCGCTTTCCCCAGTTTCTCCCTGTAAAGATGGACATGATCAGAAAAGACTCCTTATATTTATGTGGAGAGAAGTCAAACACAAACAAGAGGTCTAATTTTGGGTGCAATATACAGGCTCTTTATTAGGCTGGCCTTAGCTAATAGCAAAGCTTATTCAGTAATAACAAGTCAACAAATAATGCACATTGCCTGCAATAAAATAAGCAAAATTAAATGAATGGTACTAAAAAAGGTCAACGGAAACTTCATTTGTACAATAGACTAATCTCAAAAATAAAAATAGTTGAAGATAGCATGATGGGTAGGTAAGTAGATGTGTCTGGGCCATACCTCTTGTCCATTTAGTCCCCTGTTTCCCTGAAAATAGAGAATAGTGGTGAGTGCAGGAACACAGGATCAATGTCGAGAAGACTCCACAAAGTCTATGTGACCCTTACCTTAGGCCCTTTGGTACCAGTGCATCCCTTAGAACCTGGCTGCCCCATGGGTCCAGCAGCTCCTCTCTCTCCCTGAGAAAGAACACATACCAGATGAAGGTTTTTTCCCTATGGCATGGTATGGTATGCCTTGGGAATTTACCAAGATTTTTGTTGGAGCAAAGTGTGTAGTTGCTCGTGGTTACAATCCAGAGTTCATGCTTACCAAAAGTAAGAATGGAAGGAAAGAGCTACTCTGATACCAGGCCACTGCTTTGGATCCCACCTGCAAGTTGGCCCGGGTGAGGTAATATCTATGTAAAACAGACGTAGAAACAAAATGGCAACTAAGATGCATTTTCAAGATTTTAGGAGCTATTCCAGGAACAGATGATGACGAATTAGTGAGACATCAGAGAAGAGCTCCAACTATGATATAATCAAGGGTCATGGTTCAGAGGCCAAGATTATTCTTTCGTTTTTCTTAAGCTCAATACAGTTCTTGTTCTTCTTGTCTTGGTAACTCTGCTAGCCTAGAGTCTTATGAGCTAGAAGCATGATGTCATATTCTTCTCTCCCCATGTCTGTCACCAAGATATGTCCTGTCAACGCACTTATGCTAGTGCTGCAAACCAGGATTAGGGCCTCTCTGCTGCGCACCTAGTGGTGTAAGACTGCTCTGCCTGCAACCTTCACCTTATCATCACCCATCATGTTGCTGGTGTGTGCAACATACTCATCAGTTGCACATCAATGCTCAATACCACTTAATGACTGCCGATCAACTGGAAGACACAGTTCTTTTTTCAGGGAGTTTAAGACTCCCAGTGATCCAGGAGTTGCTCCCCATCTCACCCTGCACTCTGTCCTCAGTCATTCTGAGTAAGGGCCCTTCTGTAAGCACACCATTCTTGGACTCAGTTACAAGCCATTGGGCTCACAGTTCTACTATAGTAGAATGTGCTTTCCACAAACTTTGCCTGGAGAAATTTCTATCTGTTCTTCAGATGTCTGCCCCAGATTACCCCTTGTGTGTAGCCTTCACCTCCTGAGCCCTAATGCTCACCAAGGCTATTACTAAGGCTCGTTGATATTTGTTCTTACTGCATTATGCCTCCTATGTAGTCCTTGTAACAACTGGATCCACTGTTAATCTTACTTGCTTTCCACTCTTCTGGAAGTTGAAGTAGGAATCATCTTTTTAAAACCCTTTTTCTTATTTCTAGTGTCTATAAGAAAACCTTTTTCTTATTCAATGTGCCTGGCACGTGACTAGATACTATGCATTTGTGAAATGAAGAATGAATGGGCGATTGCATTTAGAAGTGAGATCATTGATAAATAATGTGGTAAATGCTTAGTATATCACTGGTAAATGAATGGATGGATAGAGGCAGGCAGGCAGGCTGCAAGAAATAACTCCTTGATAAACAAATCGGTGAGCAGGTTTACTAGAGCAAAATGGAGCAGGATGGGGGAAATGGAGGTGACTTGACATCCCTGGTGAAGAGGGTCACGTGTGCATTGACTTTATGGTGCAGTGCAGACGGGGAGGCAGGACACTGGCATGTTCATAAACCTTCCTCCCCAAGGAAGCTCAAGGAAGACTAAAACAGGCCTCCGATTCTGCACTTGTGTGCTTGGAACCCAACATTGTTTGCTTTCCTCTGAACTGACACACACTGCTTCACACGTAGGCAAGTTCTTAGCAACAAACACAACTGGCAAGACTTACTGCAGCGCCCTCCTCTCCCAGGTGGCCTTGGCTGCCTTTAAAGCCTGGGGGTCCCTGGAAGTAAGGAAAGGGGAAAGACATGAGAATTCCATAGAGTGAAAACCAAAGGAAGTCAAGCAAAAATCGTCACACTAAGTTTTACTTTATGTAGAACAGTAAGAGTTTTAAATAAAACAGTCCTCCCTCTACAAGCTAGGCTGTACTGACATACATGAAAAGTAAATGGAGTTTTGATTCTGGGATCCAGATTACTCAAGGGCATATGTGTGTGTGTGAATCATAGTATTATCCATAACGCTCTCTGGGGTTATATATAGTGCTGGAGTTATTTTACAAACACTGAAATGAACACAGCCCTCGTTTCCCCTAATGGACTAGCAATAGCCTCTTTTCATTACAAAAATCCTTTTTAGGATCTATGCTACACATAGAAAAAGAAGCCACACACACTTCTTTCCATTCTTTCTGAATCCTTATATAAAAAAAAAAAACAACTTTACCACTTTCTTGGCGTGAAGTTGAAGCTGTTAGGGAACAATTAGTCTAAAAACTTTCTTCAGGGACACAGCTATGGTGATTTGGAAGTTATGGTGTTATCTATAAATTATCCCAAAATCAAACACGTGTGTAAACAAACAGTATTAAAATCATTATTAAATACATCCATGGCTTGGATTTCATAACATCCAAATCACTTTTTTTTTTTTAAGATTTATTTATCTATGCATACGGAACTGGGGTACAGGCCAGGGGTGCAGGTGCGGTGAGAGGCTTCACCAGAGACAGAGTGGGGAGTAGTACAGCCTGATCTATGAAGTACAGTGCTGAGGGGAGCAGCAGGCAGGTCAGGAGAGGTCTGCCGCACCGTGTGGGTCACCTCTGGGCGGGGATCAAGCTCACGTGGAAGTGGTTTTTGCCTTTTAGTGCTGTGCTGTAACCTGCTACACCACCAGGGAGGGCCTCCGAATCATTTGTTTTTACATAAGGGTATGTATTTTTTTTTTTTGGAGTTGGGAAGTGGATGAATCTGTCATCAGTTATTATTTTTATAACCGACTCGTGTGACAGCCCTTTGGCCTGTCCAGAGCTGAGCAAGGCGCAGGGGTATCTACTGCTGCAACAGGAGATGTGTGTGGTCCGGTCTGCTTCTCCCAGACCAGACAGTGCTCCCGCCTGACGTTCCCAGGCCTGCACCCCTGGGTGTGGAGCAGCCACGAGCTCTCAGCACTCAGGAGAGTCTCACTATTCAGCATGAGAGCTCAGAGTTGACTCTTCCGCATCACTGCCTTCACTGCCAGAGCACTGGGGAATCAAGAATCCTGGCAGCTACTTCTCCCAAGGCTTCTAGTTAAACATTTTTTTCTTTTATAAAGATTGCAGTGGAGCATGCCGATGAAAAACCTTGGCTGGCTAATCTGACACATAAAGAGAGTTCAATAAAGTTACCTCAGAGGCTGTGTCTAGAATTTAAAACCACCCAGCCCTACCTAAAGCCATGTCTGAAAGGCACAGCCTACTCGACTCCAGGGGGCCTGAACCGCAGCCAAAATCACCTTTTTCCCTGGTGACCCAGGTGCTCCCATCACGCCATCTCCCCCGATGCACTTGCAGAACAAACAGCAGCATGTCCTCTCAGCAACATTGACCTTGGGGGGAGGGGAGGAAACGCATCACACTGGGCCTCGGTGGGAACTGCTGCCCAGACAACCCACACCAGCTCGGGGGTGTGGTTCAGAGTCCACCTGCGCATCAGAGGCCGGGCACCATGACAGCGACCACACTCTGGGCCGACCCGGGGAGGGAGACTTCTGCTTTTCCACTGCCCTCTGCACTCTGCATTCTGCACTGCACGATGAAGAGGAAGACAGCATCAATCCTAAGATGCCTTTACATTTGCAAACTGCTATCTGTTTTGCTGGGCCAACTCGACCCACTGCAGACTGATGTGTTGACGTGACTTCCTGTTCCCACGCGAGCGCTGAGCTGGGGTAACTGGTTACCCTTTATCATTCTGCCCCGAATCTGTTCGTCAATCAGATGACTGACAGTGGCTTCCTCTCATTCCTACTTTGTGAAATCTTTATATGCTAGAGGACGCATGCAGTGACCAACGTCACCCCCCCTTGGAACGAAGCCCAATGGCAAACATTTCCAGCACACTTTACTTGTAAAACAGGACTTAAAAAACACCGATTACAGCCACAGTGTTTTAGAAGTGCTTGCTGTGGAGGTGGGAGGTGTGGGGAGAAGAATCTTCTTCACATATTGGCCAAGAAGCCAGTTACATGTTAAAAAAAATGTGAGTTTCATCCAGGATAGTCACTCCCTGAATAAATAACACATTCTGTGGCATTTTTATGATTAATTCATGAGGCTTATCTTTAGGAAAATTCTTTTTAGAGTCAACACCATGCTTTAGTTTAGTGGAGTAGAGTCATCTTTGTTTTGAGAATTTGCTCATCAAAAATCAAGTATGACCAAAAATGAAAATCTTTTGTCATAACAATTTCTTGCTTTAATTTCTTCCTATCATAGAGTGTTTCTTTTCTGACATCAGAAAAAAATTCCCCTGAAAATCTCAGAAAAACTAGTGAAACTTGAAATGTGTGAAATCAAGGAATAATGGCAACAAAATGGATTCTGTGACTTCCTGTCAGATATCAGTTTTCTCTGGATCACCAAAATCCTACAGCATCAAAACTTTTACTACGACCAATAAAAGTAACCTATTTCTAAAGCTGATTTTCTTATTCAGTATTTCATTTAAGAGATATGTACAAACAGAGGTTTGTTTTGAAAAGCAACTTCCTCCTGTGAACTACAAATATAGATGTATTTGTAAATGTAGTAAACAGAAGTCTTCCCATGTAAAAAAGGAATTCCAACTAAACACCCATCTTTTGGAAGTAATTTACCTAACTAAAACACCCAATAAACTATTTAATTACTTACTTTTATACAAATCCCATAGGTGGGACATAGAAGAGACCTTGGAAAGTGTTCTGGTAATGCTGCCTACAATTTTATAAATTACAAGCCAAAGGCAAATTACTAGCCACATGATACGGTGAAAGTGATGCCAAAAAACTTGCTGACACTTCACTCTCTTAAAAAAAAAACACGATGGAGGTACATTGTATGTAGTCACTAGGCTCTAAACAGACCCCACGGCAACGCTCGTGATGAGTAAGACAAGCTTCAGGAGGTCCCTATAGCACAGCGTGGGGAGTCCACAGCTCCCCGCTTGCAGCAGCCCGTTCTCCCTCTGGATGACTCTTAGCGGCAGTCATTCTCCCCCACGGGCCATGCTGCAGGCAGATGCTGGTCTCACACCCTGAACTATATTGAGCGTGGTGCGGGACGCTGCCAGGCTGTAAAGCTCACTGCCTCCTCACATCTCAGACTTTCTCTGGCACTTACATCCTTTGGATGTCACTTGGGCAGGATGGTAGGTGCTTTGTGTGTGTGTTTTTTTTTCCTTCCTTCTTCCACTTTTTTTTTTTTTTCAATCAAGCATGTACATCAGACTTCCCCTGCCAATTCATTCTCCGCTGTCTTTCTTTCAAAACACCCTTATTTTGGCTGTTTGCGCAATCACAAAAACCTCTCTTCAACCCCAAATAAACAAACTCAGTTCAAATTCATAAGCAGAAATATGAAAGCCATACACAGAAACAAATAGAGTACCTAAACTTACCAGCCTTTTCTGAGCAACTTACCAGATGCTTTGACAGTTGGCTCCCCAGATCCCTCATTCCAAGGGTGTGCTGGGTCCTGTACTCAAATCCTTTCCCAAATTCGATGTAGAGAAGATCAGACAGATCACTTGAATCGGTGGCTCCATCCAAAGCAACCGTCAAGAGGGCATTCAGGCCTATTCGACAAAATTTACAATTCCTGGGTGAGATGCTTGGTTATTTCAATTTTCTTTAGCCTTTGTATCAGATTGTTACTCCAGGCAAACAGTGGCAAGAGGGATGCTCAATTTATTGTCTACTTACCCAGCCAAAGGATAAGACAAGTAACAAGAGACAAGACTATAAGCAGAGTACAAAAGGAATTACTATTTTACATGACTAATTAAATAGAAGAAGGGGTAAATTGTAACAGAACTTCTAGTTCCCTCATGATTTGAAGTGAGAGAGTGAGTTAAAAAGGGTCCACAAAGCAGGTTAAGTCTAGAAGAAACTCAGTGTTAAGGAAGGAAAAGTACTGTATTTCTGCCACACAAAGGGATCCTGTTAAGCTTATCATAAATAGTCTCAATTCCCTATCCCAGACCCATCGAGCCAGAATCTGTGTTTAAATAAAATCCCCAGTGATTTGTATACATACTCAAGACTGAGAAGCTCAGCTCTAAATGAAATCATACGGCATCAAAAATCCAAGGTAGCACAAGAAAATAAGAGACATTACCAAGCAGTTAAAAGCAAATGACATGTAATCATCCAGAGCTTTGGGATTTACACACCAAAATATTTCAAAGATAACTTTTAGATACTACAAAACAAATGAGTGCATCTAGATGTGGTGCAGATAGACACAATGGAATACTACTCAGTGATCAAAAATGATAAACTCATGCTATTTGTGCCAAAATGGATGGAGTTGAAAGGGATTATCTTCAGTGAAATAAGTCAGGAGAAAAAAGAAATTCTGGATGGTTTCACTTATATCTGGTATATAAAGAGCCCAGACAAAGGAACAGGAACAAGACAAAACTTCCAAGCTGACCACAGATCTGAGGCTCCAGTGACAATTTTAGGTTTTCATCTAGACAAATCAACCCCAGAGCCCACACTCAAAGGACACTTTAGTAGCCAACATGTAGCAAGGACATAACCATAAAGAACAACCCTGAAGTGGAAGACATTTAGTTTCATGAAGGCCTGACTCTACTGGCAGGTGTTTTCTCATCTTCAAATGAATAAAAAGTCTTTGGATGGGACTTGGAAATCTGTGGGTTAGAACAGATCCAGAAGTGTTCTCTTGACTAAGAAGTAAGAAGGCCGCCTTATTTTATCTGAGTTTATGTGTTATGAATGAAGTGAGGGCTTAGATAATACAGTTTACAATATGTGAGGGAAACTTGGGTCCTAGGAGAGCCCAGCTGAGTGGCTGATGTGGGACACAGGAAGAAACCTAGAAATGGCATCACCAGCTTGTCCAGTTTGCTGAAGTTTCCTATTTTTCATGCTCATGATGACAGTTTCTGGCTTTTCTCAAGCAAACAAATGTTTGTCGCTCTCCCCAGAATGAGAATGAGGGAGAAAAGAGATGGTGGGGTTGGCCAGGAGATGCCATGAGGAATATGGAGTTCATCTGCTGGAGTTTGGTGATCTGGAGAAGGCACACTGGTGGGCCAATTAATAAGAAGAAAAATCTTAAATTTGATTTTTCTTGTAAGTTCCAGGAAATGTAAAAATTTAAGACTTAGAGAACTATGGGTTGTTGATTTGCAGGAAATACGCATATAATTGTCATCTGTAGCTGTTTTTCTCATCAGAATGGGGGACTCCAATCCTGCCCCTTCAGAGTCATCCAATAAATGAGTAAGATGATCTGGAATACAGTTTTCAATTCCAAACAACGAATTAATGAAGAAAAGATTTCAAAAAATTGGGAGAACAAAGAATCTTTGACTAGACCCTAGAGTAGTCGATTTTCAAAATTAAGAAACTAATTCACACAAGTGCCCCTCCACAAGGGTGATTCATAAAACGACATCTACCTGGGAAGATTCTTCTCCCCTATCTCCACTCTTTCTGTGACAACTGCGGTTGATGTGCTTCTGAACTTGGCCTCCACTTAGATTCTAGGACTCACCATCAACAGAAGTCTTGTAGGTAATGTCTCACCCACAGCGAGAGCCACTTCACACTTGAAAGAATGTTCTACCCATTACCTCTTAGCTCCCACAAAGATCCTAAACTTGAGGATATTCAAAATCTACCTTGTGAACTTGAAAACTCACTCACTAGATTTTTTTCTTGAGAATAGGAAGAAAAAAACAATCTTGAAATCTGGATGTTCAGAGAGAAAATGCCAACACCTACCAATGTCTAGAAGAGGTGTGTCTTTTCCGCATAAAAGAACACCTGAAGAAGACTTGCCCACTCCAACTGAGCACCTGAGGGTTTTGTTCTGTCTTCATCACACAGTCCATGAGAGCTCACGAAAAATGCCATGACTTGATAAAGATCAGAGCTTGAGATACGGGTTTGAAGGCACACAACTTATTGGGGAAGTGCCCTCAGAAGAGAGGGCGAAGGAAGTAGGACAGGGTGAGGGAAGGGGCTGAGCAACACAGTTGGGTTGGGTTCGAGTTTCAAGATCCCACAGGAACTGGAGAATAAACTGAACCAGAAAATGGTGCCCCATTGAGGCAAAGCACTAAATCTTTTGACCTTTACCTGCTGCCTAGGGAATAACCTATTAGGTGAGGAGGTCCCCTGGGCCAAGGCAATTCCTCAGGGAAGAGCTGTTAGCAGCCACACTCAGTCGCTGGAGGAGGGAGACACTGGCAGAAAGAGGGCTTGGGTGGAGCACCCCACTTCCAGGAAAATATTTCTAATTTTAATCAAACCACAACATGTGGGGGCATTTTTCTCCCACTGATTCATATTTTAGCTAAGAAATGAGAGTAAGTCGGGCTGCACATTGGTTTCCAAAGCCCAGAGCCTGGTGCCAGGGCTTTAAAATCACCAACATCACACTCAGTCCAGAAGGAGCAGATTAGAAAGCCCCACAATGGGAATAAATGGATCCGACAACACTGGCAGCTCTTCTCAGAGGAGCAGAAGCAAAGAACCTAACTCTTCCTCCTTGGTCAGGGAGAAATGCAATGTTCATTTTGGCTGATGTGAAAGCAGCAGCAACATCAGATAAAAGGGGTGAAGGAGACAGAATATTCTCCAGGAAAATTTAGGAAGAAGAAACACAGTCCTCTCAGAGAAAGGCCAGGACTTTGCATTCAGCACTGCTGCAAGCACACAGGACGGGCGGGGCAAAGCAGATCTCAAACTGTTCTGAGAACTAATTTGCTTGCCAAGTGCATCCACAGCACAAGGCTTGGCAAATTCAGGGTTATTTAAGAGCCTGGAGACCAAAGAGCCAGACTGGTCCTGAATTACAAAGTTAACGAACGTCCCTTTCCCACTCTTCCCCACGCTCAGTACCTTCTTTCCGCAGTTGTTCAGATTTCAGCTCTAGGTTTTCAATATCTTCATCCACCCCATCTGAAAATAAAAGAACCACCTAGGGGAAGTATTCAAAAAAAGAAAAATGAGTAAGGAGGTGGTCATCGCAACCACAGGACCAACAAATAAAATCAAACCCAGGTACCTTTCCTCGGGCGGCTGATTTATTCTGAAAGGCATCCCAGAGCGAGCTTAGGAGGTGCACATCGAGAAGAGATGGTCCCTTCACTGTTACATCCTTCAAGCTGTTCAGTATGTTCTCACTGTAGATCTCAAACTTGGGTGCAAACTTGTCCCTGGCATTGGTCACTTGAAAGGCCACACTAACCTGAGTCTCAGTGCCCACTTCACAACTCACCCCATTGAGGGAGCTGATGGCACGTAAGATATCTGGAAGGTAAGTTTGCATCCAGGGCTGACCTTCAAGGAGAGTTTGGCCACTCTGCTGAGTTGAGATGTCAAATCCCACCACCACATCCATGAAGCAACCTAGGAGGCAAAGGAAAATTGTGTCTTGTTAGATCGTCCTATAGCTTTACTTGATCTGGATGCCAGGTCTGAATCAGGGACTTGGAATTCCTATTCTATTCCAGCTGTAAAGTGAGCAGACAAGGGAAAGCTTGAGTGAAAAATGCAATGATGTTTATTAAAACCTGTGAACGTGGAGGTATATATTATGATGTTTTTAGATGATGGTATAAAATCTAGATGATTCTATAAAACATTCTGAAAGATTTAATTAAGGCCACTAAAGAAGTCACACCAGCTTATTTAAATCTCTCTCAAGTTTCTAGAGGCTAATAATCTAAAATAGGAAACTCTTGTCATGCACTTATCAGTTGAGGTGATCCAACAAATTTTAAGTAATGATGGCTATAAAGAAAATATAAAAACATTTGAGTAGAGTCATGTAGAAAATATAAATCACTAAAAACTTTCTAAGTTAGGCATGCTTGTGATGCTTTTTACTTCTAAAAGAATTTGTGATCCCTCTTTGTTTTCTAACATCCTCTCAGAAAAGGAAAAAGAAAATAATAAGAGACACTTTGAAACCGTACCTAGCTTAAATTCTACAAGTGGAGAAAGGGCCACCAACAGACCCACGTTCACCCAGTCAAAGCCACTGCCATCTGGGGGTTCAAGAGATGCTGCATCAATGGAATACTATTCAGCAATCAAAAACAAGCCAGAAAGAAAAAGAAAAAAATCAGATGGTTTCATTGATCGGAAGCATATAGGGGAACCAAATGAGGCATCAGGGAAAGATAATAACCATAACAAAGCAAACAAAAACAAGCAGACAGCTCTAAATCAGAGACATTCTGCAGGGGAGGAGGAGAGAGAGGACTCGACATGAGGGAGGAAAGAACACAAGGGACTGTGGTGGTGGTGCACTGACAGAGGGAATTCTATGGGGACTACACCTGAGAAAAGAAAGCCAATGTTTAAAAAAGAAAAAAAGATGTCAAATATCTATAAATAAAGAGAGGCTGGATTCAGAATTCTTTGTTTTCATGGTCAAGGTGAGTCAGTTAAGCACTGGGGAAACTGGCAGCTAATCAGAGAAGGGTAAAATCATATGAGATATAAATTCTTTCAAGAACTCTTTGGCTAATACCCTTAATCTTTTCCAGAATATTCAACACGTACAGCCTCCATAAATGGAAAACAAAACAAACAAACAAAAGGGGAGGAGAGTATATATTTTCATCTGTTTTGTTTAGACAAGCAGTCTTTCAGATTCGTGCAGTGTGGACGCTTGCCTGTGCTGTCTCCACACACAGCAGTCAGCTGAACGTTTGTAAATCTCTGAGAAGAAAACAAAGGCTAGTAACTTGATTTTCTTTTTAATGAGTTGGGTGGAGGACAATAAAAACCTTATTTGATCATCAATTTTCATCATGAGATTCAGGGTAAATCAATGTGCCATAAAGTATCTGGACACTGCTTTTATGTTTTTGCTGGAAAAAAAAAATCTCTTCTCAGCTGTTTAGAAGGCAGAAGAGAAACATCAGAGTTCATCCTCTCCAGGGTTCTTCTTCAGCCTTCATCCTTTTCTGTCTATTTGAGATGGAAAAGTTCCACTCCTGGGTGAACACTGTGTCAAGTTCTGAACAGAAAACCATTCAGGAGCCAAGATAAGTCACTGCCTTTAGGAAAACAGTCTTTTGTGGAGAAAAACTAAACACAGGCAGAATTGTCAAAGTGAGATGCTGTTTACCCTGGGAAGGGTCCCCTGTAGTCACCTAGACTACTGGTAGTTGAGACCCGGTGTTCAGGTCTTTGTATTTATTTAACTGATTCAAATCAACAAACGATTCCATAATAATGTGACCAGAGGGCTGGAATTTGGGGATCAGGTCTAGAGGCAGCAGCTACGCATCTAACCATGAGTAAGCAGTTCCTACTAATCAAGGAGGCTCCAGGGAGCCCTTCAAAGTTAACAAGAGGTTAAGTCAGCTAGACAAAGGCTAAAAGTAGATTTCCAAAGAATGATGACGAAGGGTTAAACTAGGATATCAAGAATGGGAGTTGTAATGAGATAATAAATGTGAGGGAAATTAAGATGGGAATCCCCATGACTGGGGAGGGGCACACTAGCATGGGAGGCCTTGGTGGCTTCTGCAGAGGCTCCAACAGTAGCTGGGGAGGACGAGGATCCAGGCTGGAGTCTCACAGCTCAGGGAGGCAAGGCCAAGACCAACAAGCAATCTGAGATCGCTACTTAAGGGGTCAAAACCCCTCAAGGACGAAGCAAAAGCAGACCCTCGCTGGCCAGCAGGCCAGTCATTTGTCACCACAAGGATTACAATGGACAGGTTGGTCTGGGTGTTAAGTGCCCCAAGGCGACAGCCACTGCCACTTAAGGCACCATCATCCTGGCCCAGCTCTCTCTTCACCATTTCCATTTGACGCTCCAGGGGACAAAGTGTGGCAACGCCCCACCATCTCTTACAAGGTGGCTGGCCTCTGTGGCTCTGTGCTGACACGTCACCCCTGCCCCCAGGGCAACTGCAAGGTCTCAGCACCTGCGCCCAAGAAGTTGCTGCCATATCTGGGTCAGAGGCTGCACACCAGCCAGGACCACCAGAAGTGCCAAGGCACTTCTGATACCATCTCCAAGACCTACAGAGTATCCAAGACACTACCTCTGGTAAGAGACTGTCTTCCAGTCTTCCTGTCAGGAATTCGCTGACCATCTCACCTTATAAAGACCCACACAGACTCTGCACAGAGGACCTAGGCTCCAGCTGTGGCCACCAGAGTTTTTATATAAGAGAAGTAAACTGAATTAAGCCTGGTTTAAAAATGAAATAGGCTGACATTAAACATACCGCATATTCCAAATTTTCTTGGTCTATGACTTCATGGGTCACAGACAGTCTAGGTCAGGTTATATAGTTTTGAGCCCTACATCCCTCACTTATAATTGGGAATAAGAATACAAATACAGGGTTTGGGGAAAATTGAATGAGCTAAAGCATTTGACATGCCTAGTGCCTCTTGCTCCGCACTTCATCGATGCTTAAAAAATACGTAGTCACTTTCCCTGTGTGTTCAGGCAGCTTATCTCCCTTCCACAAGTATTGAACCAGTGTTCAGCTCTAGAAACTCAAAGATTTAGCTTTAGGGTGAGAAAAGCAAGGACACTGACTCTTCCAAACTGAGACATTTAACAAGCAAAACCAGATGTGCAGTCTCTCAGTCTGGTTTGCTTTGACCCTTGCCAAGCTACTGTCTTATTGCTTTGGTTTGGGATTTATAATTTAAGAGGAACTGGCACTGCTAGTGTATTTGTGCATGCCTTTGAAGCTTTATCAGTGTTTACGACAGCCCCATCAGTCCTCATGCCTCAGCTTGGCAACCAAGGACTCACATTCTCACTTGCTGGAGGAACAGCTTCAATCTCTCTTAACCCAGAGCACTTTCCTTGTCTACTTTGTTTATTCTTTAGGCTCAAAACTTTCCTTGAAAGGTAACGCACTGCCTGGAGTATGCACTCTTGGTTTGGACTTTGCCTGTGACTTTTGTATTCTCTCAGTCAGTGCAAGATGGTCCAGAGATCATTTTTATCCTAGTAATTGGAATTGGGTCTTTCATGTGAAATAGGAAACTAATGTGGACAGTTTGGCTAGGGCTACTAAACACATTCCAAAGCATGGGAGATGTGAAGCAGGCTTAGTCCCTAAATGATTATGGGGCACTTAACCTTTAACCTGTACACTGGGTTTTAATAAAAGTTGGACTTGGAAAATTTTTGGAGAGCTTTGGGCAAGCTGGGAGGTCTCTCAGCACATACTCAATTACACACACACACACACACACACACGCAGTCGGGAAGTCATTTCTCTCTGTGAGAAAGCGAGAAGCCTCAAGAGATAATTTGGAGAGGTCTCAAACCTAAAGAAAAAGAAATCGGGTGGCATGCTACCCTCCCCCCAGAGGAAAGGCAGCCACACTCGAGGGGAGGGCTCCTGGTGTTCTGGGGGGGAAATAGAGCTGTTGTTGCTCCTATGGAGTTGATAAAGCCTCGTGTAAGAAAGTGCTCTCAAGGGCAGCTCTGACCTCCTGCCCAAGAAGGCTGCTAAGAAAGCTACAGACAGATCACAGCAGAATAAGCTGCCAAGCATTCTCAGAACAGTTTGGAATCACCTTTGCTAAGGTCCCAGATGCTGAGGAAGGCACCAGACCAACTGCACTCAGATGAGCCTCCTCACAGGAATTGTGGCAGTGAGCTCCTGCGACAGATGTGCAGGGGGGTAGAGGGGTGGGAGTGGGGTCATCTTTGTGCTCACGAATCCACCCAGTGTAGACATGGGTTATCGTCACAGAAAACCAAGTTCTTGCAAGTGGCATCAAGGAAAATATTTTCTGTACTACTTTAGTTCTTTTCCCAGCCCACTGTGGAGAGGCCAGAGACCCAAGTCAGCCAGAAGGAAGCAGGATCTGGGAGAAGGGGTGTGGGGTACAAGCGGCCGCCGGAATAGCAGGTCCGCGTGCCAACCACTTGCAGCCTCTTCTCTAGCAGGTGAGCAGGTGTCGGGCTGGAAAGTGGAGTAAACCTGAAAGAAGCTTGACATTTCTATAATTACCCTGGAATGGACACTTAATCACCAAGAAAAGGTTCACTTATTTCCTGAAAGTGACCAGGAGTGAGGGAAGGGTGGGCCCAGGGATAAAGGCAGAGTCAGGGGCGACTCCAATGCAGTGACTTTGTAATTTTATCCCAGGCATCATGCCTATGCAAAGCCCAGCTTAAACTGGCATTTTCTCACTTAACCTTTGGAGCTAGGTGCTGCTTGGCATTCATGCTTCACAGATGAGGAAATTTCTAGCCTGGCTGACTGTGTCTCAAGCTGCCTCTTAATCATCACATCCTTTTCCCATGGCTGCTGAGAATCCGGGGTTAATGTTCACCATGGAGATGATACAGGATAAACAGCCAACCCATCTGCACTTTTAGAAAAAGAGAAACATGTACCCTTCCTTTAAGACCTTTCCTCCCATCTGTTGGAAAAATGTTTCAGTGTGTAAATTTTTAAGGAGATATTTACTGGCTTCTGCATGAAGTTTCATATTAAAGCGATGACCTCTAAGGACTGGCCTCTGTGCGGACAGCACAGCACTCGGCGGCCCTACGGGCCCCACTGCCAGGCGACCAGTCTTTCAAAGTTGATGCCTTTTGGACACGTTCTATGCCTCTAAAACCAACCAATCAGATTATGAACAATCTGGTTTTCTCCCACCTTCTGAAGCAGCGGCCTCCCTCTTCACAAAAGGGGCCTTTGTCCCCAGGAGGCAGGGAGAAGAAAGCCAGGTTCCTAGAAGCTCTGTTTCTCAACCTGCAAAATATACTTAACTATGAAAAGTTCAATTTGAAAGCTACAGACAGATCTAAGCGCTCCCGCCAGCCTTTGGGGAAAGCCACGGACTCGAGACAAGCCTTAGCTGCAGGTGGGGGAGGGACAGATAGGAGAGACGTATTAGATACTCACTGCTCTCTCCTCCCGAGGTACAGATGTTGCGAACTACCCTTTTCTTGACCTTTTTCAGTTCATCGAAGTTATGGACAGTCAGCTTCTTCTCCGCGCTGCCGGTGATCTGCACGAGCTGCTGGTCGTCCACACTCCCGATGCCCACAGTGTAGATGTCGATCCCCTTGTGTCTCAGGTCTTCCGCTGCTGGAGCCACCTCGTCCTGGGACTGGCCGTCCGTGAGCACCAGCAACACCTGCGGGGTACCTGCATTTATCCGGCTGCCCGAGTTGGGCAGGAAGTACCGGCCCACACGGCGGAGGGCGGCGCCAATGTGTGTGTTCCCGAAGATCTGTTTGATGTTTTCAATCTGATTTGAGATCTGCTTTTTGCCTATGAACGTCCTCAAGGAAAACTCTTCCTGGTAGGTGTGGCTGAACTGGGCCACGCCAATGTGCACTCGATCAATACTGACATCAAAGTCCTCAACAATGGAGACCAAGAACTTCTTCATCTTGCTGAAGTCATTTGTGCCAATACTAGTTGAGCCGTCCATGAGGAAAACCAGATCGACCTTTTCAATGTCACAATCTATGAGGGAAAGAAAGACAACGAGACATCAGACGGCTATTCTTCCCTTAACCTACTGAGTAAAGTGAATGTTGGCCTCTGTGCAGAAGCGACATTCCTGAAGGGGGTTTCACTGTGTGTGCCCTCTGGCGGGCACATTAATTGGAGAGGAAATCAAGACAGTTCATGTGAACCACTCTGTATCCTGTGATGCTCCTCTTGGCTGTCTGTTAGGTCTTATCCCACTTTCTTTTTTGAAAGGCCAGAAAGCTGGGGATGGGGCTACAGGGGGCATTTTCTCCCTGCCATCCGGTCTCCCCAAGACAGTGATGGCACAGCAAGGAAAACTGAAGCAACAAAGGCCACTCACTGAGACAAGACAGCCTGCTCTACCGACTTGTCCCCGGCTGGCTGAGCCAACAAGGACTTTTCTAGTTTCTTAGGAAAAGTTGAAGGGAGGTTTTAAAATCATGACTTCTGTATCGAGTCAGTTTTTCCTTATATAAACCCCACTTCTGTGCCACAGGCTAACATATTTTTTGAAAATGTTATTTTTGATCAGTGGAGTATAGTTTCAGAGAGGCTTCTCTTGTAACAACACAGCAGACACAAAACAAATGGCCAGAGAATGAGTTATGCTTGGCACAAGCTCATGGGTGCCTTTGCATGCTGGTAAACATTAGCATTTCCTTGAGTTCCTGGAGACCTGACCAGAACTTAATTCTCATTCTAGTTTCAGAAGAGATGAAAGGTGTCTTGAGATTCCTGCTGTCAAGATAAGCAAGGAACAGGCAGAAATGATAAACAGATCCTTCAGGAACTGGTTAACTCAATGCATTCCTGTTTTGATTCAAGTAAAGGAAATAAAGTACTTTTATTTTGGTCCAAGGGAGAAATTTCAATATAAAAATTCATGGGGCTTGAACAGTGAACTTGAAAGAGGACAGATGGAATTTTAGGCATTGGCTAACAAGAGGTAAAAGGTAGTTTCCAGTAAGACTCAGATTTTGTTGATTTTGTGAAATGAAAGAATAGGCATTGTATTCTAAAGAAGCCATATGAAAGCCAGAAAAGTCAAGACGTTTTTGGAAAGGAACCGCACCAAGATGTTGGAATCCTGCATTAGAAGCAATTGATCACATGAAGATTTAGTAAAAACACAAAGGGATTGTAGCCTCCTTTTGAAAGAATGGTATAAAATGGTAGCTGGAGGAAAGGATGAATACACATCTATTGCCATGAACAAATGTGACAATGTAATCTCCAGGTTCCAAATTGGCATGGGGAAGTCAGAGAAGTTGCTTTGGAAACACCCAAGGCCAGAGTAGCGCAAATTCTAGGCTCTGTGTTTTAAGCAAACATGTTCATGATAGAAACAGGGAGAAGGAATGAGGGATTTCCAGCCTGAAGACTTGAAGACTTCAGTTAGCAATTGCTGGTTCTTAGTGATGGAATGTGATTGCTTACGCAAAGAGCAGGAAGAACTAATGGGTAGATAAGTGAACAAATTTGTGTTTGAGTTTTCCCTGCTTCTGAAAATAGAATGTTCCTCTTTGGTATAATCTGGTAGATTGTTTTTGGGGTCTGGGAATGCTAAAAAAAAAAAGTCATATAAATGAATAACAATAGCATCCTCAGATCCCCAAATAACATGCCAGATAGAAATTTTCTACCTTCAGATAGTGGGGAAATGTGTAAACAAAGCCTCCTCCAAATGGTCAACTCCATTTTGAGGTTTATGTAGCAGTAAGAACGGAGAAGGGATTCATCTTTGGGGAGGAGGCTGGGGGAAATGCTCTTGAGGTATTTCACAATAGGGGCAGAGCCGGGAAACAATGACTGCGCCCTCTCTTCTCTCCTCACCCCTGAGGGTGATGGTTTCGGTGTCTCCCTTTTTGGACTTCTGCTAATATGTGAGAACAACTGCATTGACCAGCCTTACCTACTTTTGAAGAGTTACACACACTGGCTGAGACATCCGAAAATATCCCCTTTAGGCCTCCAAACGTTTCCACAAAGAAGTATCTGTCTCGTGACCCTGCCATGGCCAGCAGCTCCTTGGGATTGGCACCGGCGATCCCCACAGCCAGGACAAGAATGCCTTTGTCCCGCAGGGCCTTGGCTGTGGCGTTGAGGGCATCCGCGTCATGGGACTCCCCATCAGTGATGACAATGAGGACCTGGGGGACCCCCTGGTGTAGGCGGCTGCCCTGGGCTTCCGTGAACATGTGGTCTGACAAATTCAATGCCTTGGCGGTGTAAGTGTTGCCTCCCTTGGAGTCGTCTTTCTGGAGCACCGAGATGACCTCCGACTTTGTGTTATAGGTGTCCAGATAAAAGAGCACCTCTGGCTCATCAGAGTATTTCAGCGCCCCAAACCGGACTCGACTCTTGCCAACATCTGCTTTTTTCACCAAGTCAATCATAAAGTCCTTCATGATATTGTATTCATTGCGGTCAATGCTGCCAGAGCTGTCAATTACAAATACAACATCTAGAACTTCAATCCGCTTGCATTCTAAAAGAGGAGGAGAAAGGAAAACCACATCATGGTTAGCTCTGGCCAACATGGCAGGCTTGAGCCCCCGCCCACCATCTGTTTTCTAAGTGTGGGGGTCTCCTCTCTGCGGGGTCTGTTCCAGTGGTCAGTCCCTGACCAATGGCCAGTTCCAATGGTCAGTCCCTGGAGGGCAGACACAGCACTTTTATGTTGCCAGTGGACGGTGATAGCCAACCAGGTGAGACTTTAGGACAGTGCAGATGGGATGCGAAAACTACCGTGGGAGCCCCGAGGGGGTGGGCTGCCGTCACAGAAGCATTAGGAATAAACATTTTGAATGCTTTGGACTGACGATAAAACCCCCACAATTCTTGGAAATTATCTTGTAGAAATGGTTCTCCCAACATGTGTTTTCATTTATACTATTATTTTTTTTTTTTTTTTTGGTTTGTTTTAGTCACAGGGATCATGAGATTTTAATCTTTAGATAAACCTTGGGGAAATGACAAAATGAGAATGAATTTGGCAACACTGTATTTTTTTTATAGCTCTATGATCACTGACTTTTCAAGGTTACATTTTCTCCCTTAAAATGTATCTATTGTCATTCTTGGTCCTCATTGTAGAAATATGCTCATTTCACACTTGGCCAAACCAAAGTTGTCCTGGCATGATGCTCCTATTACTTCTGAAGTCTTGGGCCAGTGCCATGGGAAAGCAAAGAAGGAAAACCCTGTGAACCCCTAACCCACGTGTGAGTAACTCTGTTCACAGAGACAGAGCTCTAGACCCCGACTCCCTCCTCTTGCGGAAGTGACACTGGGAGCAGGTGAATCATTGAGTCCTTATGGAAAACAGGCTCTCTGCAGCCCCTGCAAAGATATGTTCCAAACGCGAGATCATCTACCCGAACTGCAGCTGCGCCTGCAGCCTCTGGGAAGAGGCTCCCCACGTTTCCATCTCCTGCTGCCACCTGCCTCAACGTGGGAGGGATGCTGGCACCCAGAGCCATGACTGGAGGCCTGGTGCACAGGGCCACAAACCACGCTCTCTGGAAGGCTGGTCCCACAAAAGGAAGATCACACCTCGCTGTCCTCTAGCTGCCCTGGGAGCCTCCTGGATTCATCAGGAGCCTGAGGAAAGATGGGGCGGTGCTAGAAAAGCTTTCCAAGAGTTCAGCTTTGTTCTGGGTGGGATCCCGAGGAAATGCAATCCAGGTGCAATCCTCTTCCCACAGCACAGAGACCAGCAACCCAGAACGCTTAGGGACGGTGACCAGCACTTTTATGTGAGCAATAGAACAATGTTCCTCTCGTCCCTCAAAACTCGGTTATGATTTATCTCCTTTGTAGGGACTGTACAGAAGGCCTCTGTCGTCAGGCCGTGTGGGTCAGTTTAAAGCAGCCCCTTCTATTTGCTGAATGTTCTATCACATCCACCCTTCTATCGCTTCATGGCATAGGGGCTGGACTTACTTTCTCTGAAGCATCCATTGTTCAAGTCCCAGTATTATATTCCTCTTTGTCTTAGGGTTTAGTAAATTTCAACATATTTTTAAATCAATAGTTACTTGTATCATGTAAGTATTATCTTTAAAACATTGTAAAAAATAAACCAACATACATATAGTCAATGTTGGGCAAAGGAGCACCTGCCCTCCACCACCTCCCTCAGCAACCCACTGTGGTCCACGAACATGGCCGGACCAGGCCTGGCCCATACTCAAGGTGGAGCCCACTCTGCCATGTCCTGTCTGACTTTTCTTAACCCTTCTGAAACGCCGCATGATACATCGCTTCCACAAAAGCCCCAGTTCAGCTTCTGCTTTCTAGGGAAGCTGACTGAAGACCCCATGCGACCTCAACTTCCACGAAGACTCCATCACCTTCCTCCTCCTTGTCTACAAATGGCAAAGAATCTAGGTGGCCCCCAAATTGTTCCTTACTATCCCATTCAACGTGCTCTTAAATTTCATGTACCAGTCAAATACGAGGATGAACATTTCCATTGCAAAAAGGTTTACAATGTTCAAACTGGAATCTACTGATTTCAAGAAATAATGGTTGACATGGACACACAGTGATGGGATCCCCCCACCAGTGACCCGCCTAGGCCTACCTTCGAGGGGGCTGCAGATTCCAAAAACCAGGTCATCCTCAATGTGCTGCAGGATGTCAAAATTCTCAACATAAAAAACCATCTCCTGCCTCCCGCTGATCTCCTGGAGCTGTGTGAAGTTGGAGCCAAACACCCCCACTGAGTAGATAATTATGCCTTCTTGCCGAAGTGCTTCGGCTGGGTCCTTGACTATGTCATGAGCTTCACCGTCCGTGATGAGGATGAGAAATTTCTTGACATTGGGTCGGGCCCCCTTGGCAGGGCTGAAGTACTGGGACACGAAGGTCAGGGCACTACCAGTCATGGTGGTTTGGCCGATGAGTTCCATGGCCTCTATAGCATCTGAAATTGTGCTCTGGCTCACGAATCTGTTGAGCTGGAATTCCTCCTTGTTGATGTCACTGAACTGGACGACACCAATTTGCACCCGATTTGCCCCAATCTGAGATTTGCTCACCAGGTTTTTCATAAATGTCTTCATTTTTCTGAAGTTTTCAGTTCCTATGCTGCCAGAACTGTCCACCAGGAACATGATGTCAGCTTTCATCTCTTTGCAGGCTACACGGGAGGAAGGGAGGGATTGACTCAAAGTTGGCTTCATGTAAAAACATTAAGACTGAACAGGAAGGCTCAACCCATAAGACTCCATAGTGAAGGTGTGTATGTGTTTGGTAAGGATTTTTAGAGGGCAAATAAAGCATCAAAGACAAATAAAGACTATTCCATTTGATTTAGTGATTTGCTTTAACAGTTAAGTCAAGGTTAACCTCAGCACTACTGACATTTGGGGTAACTGTAATCGTGGAGAGCAAACCATGTCCTGTAGGCCACTGTAGAATGTTTACCATTATCCCTGACCTTCACTCACTAGCTCCCCGGTTACGACCACCACCACCATCTCTAGATCATCACCAAATGACCCTGAGGGGTCAAATTCATCCTCATGTCGCGCTAAAATTTCATAAGTTTTATTAAAATGACATTTTAGACAAACTGGAAGTACTTCTTAAGTCTGAACTTGTTTGATTAAATTACACATGCAGTGTCTCATCAATTGCTGTCCTAGCTGAAATGTGTGGAAGGAAGCAGAATAATACTTATTAGGGCATGTGCCTGCAAAGCCCGTTCTTATGCTTCAGCATGAAGCAGAGCAACACTTTCGTGGGCTTCATTTGGTTCTGGACAACAGAAAGCTGCACAGGGAGACCAGTTTCAACTTGGAAATAGACATGTTTCTCTACAACAGCAGAGTCAACTACTACAAGAAGGCAATTTGTGAGCTGTCAAAAGGTCTAAAGCCAGCCCTCCCTGGTGGTGCAGTGGGTTAGGGCACAGCACTGCAAGCGAGCCGTAGCTGCTTTAGTGCGAGTTCAATCCCTGGCCCGGGAGCTGACCCACATGGTGCTGCAGACCTCTCCTGACCCGCCCGCTGCTCCCCTCAGCTGTGTACTTCATTATTCTGCCTGTTCTGCTCCCCACTCTGTCTCTGGTGAACCCTCTCACCATCCCTGCACCTCTGGCCTGCACCCCAGTTCTATATATATGTGTATATATATAAGTACATCTTAAAAAAAAAAAGTAAAGCACCATTTTTCCTACCTTCTTCAGCACAGATTTCTTGAACCATTTGGTTTCTTATGTCTTTCAAGGCGTCAAAGTCATGCACATAGTAAACCCTCTTGTCCTCGCCTGCAATTTCTCGTAGCTGTGTCTGGTTGGCCTCCTTGACCCCGATGGCATAAACTCGGATGAGCTCTTTTCTCAGTCTCTCTGCAGGCTCCAGCACAGAGTCCTGGGACACGCCCTTCGTCAGGACCACGAGATGGCTTGGCACTTTGTTCCCTCGCTGCTGCTTTGCTTTCTGCAGCAGGCCCAGCGTGAAGTTCAGGGCCGCGCCTGTGTTTGTGTGCCCACCCATCTGCCTGATGTTCTCGATGGCCTTTCCCAGGTCGTGTTTATTCGAGTACTTGTCGATGGCAAATTCCAAGTCCCAGTGGTCAGCGTACTGGACAGCCCCCACCCGCACCTTGTGGGGAGCGATGTTGAACATCCTGACCACCTCTGACAGGAAGGCCTTCATTTCCTGGAAGTCTGTGTCCTGGGTGTCCCCAGAGCCATCAATGAGCAGGTAGATGTCTGCTTCCTCAGTGTCCACACAACCTAAGAGGGAACAAGATGTTAGGGTGGTGTTTGGGGCAAGTGTGAAAGAGATGGGAGCATCTGGGAGACTGCAGGCATCTCTGCAGACAGAAATGTGAGACTACACTCAAAAGATGCTTTTAAGGAACAAGTTAAACAATACACACACATACATATACATGTATACACACATGTATACATATACATGTACACACATGTGTGTGTACATATACGTGTATATATATATATGTGTGTATATACACATATATATAGTAACTGTAATAAAGTAAAAACAAACAACTATTAAACAGACGTTCTATGAGGGAAGAGAGGGGAACAGGATCAAAACTGGGGTGGGAAGAACACAAGGGACTATGGTGATGGCACATGGGTGAAGGGGTGGTGGGACGTCCACGGGATTACAAATGAAGATGAAAAAATGTACCAAAAAAATGTAGTGGTGGTGCCGTGGGTTAGGACACAGCACTGCAAGCTGGCCACAGCTGCCTCAGTGTGAGTTCGATCCCTGGCCCCAGGGGTGATCCATGTGGTGCCGCAGACCTCTGACCAACCTGCTGTTCCCCTCAGCAGTGTACTTCATCAGTCAGCCTGTTCTGCTCCCCACTCTGTCTCTGGCTTGTACTCCAGTTCTGTATGCATAAATAAATCTTTTTTTTAAACATTTATTTATGCATACAGAACTGGGGTACAAGTCAGAAATGCAGAGGGTGAGAGGATTCACCAGAGACAGAGTGGGGAGCAGAATAGGCAGGTCAACGAAGTACACTGCTGAGGGGAGCAGTGGGCGGGTCAGGAGAGGTCTGCCGCACCATGTGGCAAACATCCTAAAAATTCTCACCATAAGAAAAACCAGATAACTAGATGCAGTGATGGATGTTAGCTAGGCTCATTGTGGTCATTTCCCAATATATATAAATCCTATGTTGTATGCCTGAAACTAATATACTGTCAATTATATAGCAATACAAAAGAGAGAACGGTTTGTCAGCTTCAAATGGGGTATTTTAGCCATCAGTTGGATTCAAGGAATTGTTCCTGACAGTTTAAGACTCTGGGTAATTCTCTATCATGAATCAGGGAAAATCTGAATATGGTAAAAGATTAGAAAACTTGAAGATGCTTTGCACATCAGTCTCTCACCAGTGAGTAACTGCTTAGCCAAAAGCCAAGATGTCTGGGAAATGGAGAAAGTAGTTAACTAGACACTGTACATATTATCACCCTCTCTCCAAACTTTGAATAAATTATTCTTTCTCCACTCCTGGTCTCCTGGCAAATCTAAGGCTACTTGGCAATGACCTTACTGTGTGTAAGTCAAGGTCACCTCCATAGTAAACATGCTGTCAGTTGCTGAAGAATGCATACACAGGTACACATGCATGCTTTTTGCAGCTTGTAAATACATATTTAGTTACATATATAAATTTAAAGCATTGTATGTGTACATATGTGTATACGACATATAACATGCACATATACCACACACATCTATGCACACACATATACACATACATGTACACACACGTGTATGTATATGTGTATAATATATATTATATATCACACAATATATATTATGTATTAGTATATATTATACACACACACATATATATGGTGCAGAAAATACAGTCCTCTTTGTCAACTCTCAGATAAGCAGAATAGTATTCCTTACCAAATTAACCATTCTGTCCTCAGTCCAAATCATGCTTTCTGTGTATTCATTATTTGGGGTGCCAGCAGAAAAGTCCGAAAAGAGAAAAGAGCAGGGGAGCGTGAGAAACAAAGGACAGCAAGGAAACAGGGGAGGGGAAAAGGATGTAAGCTGGCGATGGTTAAGTAACAAGAATCCAGTTCAAGGAAGGAGAAGAGTGAGGGGATCTCTTCTCTGCCTTGCGATACTGCAAAGCCTACATCTGCCCCCCAGCCGTATTTCCCGGTCTCAAGATCAAGTAAAAACGGAGGACCTGTCCTTTGCGCCGCCTCCCACTGGCCCCCACCCCTTCTGGGTCTGTCATTCCTGAGAGGAGGGTGACAGGCGCTATCCCAGCAGCAGCTTTACCGGATTTGAGCGCCTCAGTCCGCTCTGAAAAGACCGACACCATGTGCGTGATTTGGTTCCGCAGCTTCTTCACAAACGTCTGGTTGTGGGCCGCCAGGTCGGAGAAGGTCTCCAGCAGGGAGACGTACTGCTCGGCAGGGTGGGAGGCGATCCTCTCCAGCTCGGCGGCACTGGCGCCCTCCACGCCCACGGTGAACACGGACACGCCCTGGCGCCGGAGAACCAGCGCGGCCTCCGTCACGTTGTCCTCGGAGGGCCTGTGGGTCACCAGCACTGCGATCTGCGGCACCCCCTGGTTCTTCCGGCTGCCGTTCTGAGCACTGAAGGCGCCCTCCCTGATCTGTGCGAAGGCGGCACCCATGTAGGCAGGCCCCGCCTGGGGCGAGAGGCCCTGTATGTACCGCAGCACCTGCGACTTATTCACACCCTGGTTCAGGGAACTTATTGTGGTGGTCTCGTTGCTGTAGGCCACGAGGCCAATCCTCATGCAGTTCTCTTTTATGTCAAGGGCAGACACACTTGCTTCCAGGAACCCTTTGAGAGAGTCGAAGTTCTCCTGGCTGCCGTTGGCAGACACATCCAGCAGGAACACCAGGTCGGCCACAGAGGGGCCCTGGCACCCTGTGTGAACAAGCACAAGAGGGCATTAGCAGGGGTGCTCTTGTCTCTGCCGGGCAGACAAGGTCGAGGATGCTAGCAAAGCTGGGGGACGCACTTCAGAGGGGAGCCCTACAACCTGATTCTGAAGCTGAGACCAGGGGGTCCTGGGTTCAAATCCCAGGGCTCAGCTAAACTCCTGGCTTCAACGACCTCATCTGTGAAATGGAGTCAACAATAACGTTTATTCTCATGCAACCGTTCTGAAGGTGACAAGGTGCTTAGCATGTCATGTGACAAGGTGACAAGGTGCTTAGCATGGGGCCTCATGTTCATGTGACAAGGTGCTTAGCATGGGGCCTCGTACCCAAGTCACCCAGTGAGCAATGGCTACCGCTGTCACTTCCAATCATTCATGTAAATCAAGCTGTTCAAATCAGTAGCGAAGGCTCCATGTGCTTCTAAGAGGTGGTGGCGGAGTAGCGTTTGCACTTTCAGTTATTTTATTTGGGAAAGATGCTAGGATTTATCTTTTCATGGATCACCACCAGAAGAGCATTCTCTATTGCCTGGTAATTGTGAACATCTCTTCATTCAAAAAGACTGAACCAGAAATAATGTGAGCTTCCTAAGCTATTTACAGGGACTTGACTCTTGGAGCAAGTGGTTTTTCCCTGGTTCTCTCCTGCCTCTCATTTGAATGATTTTCATACATTCTTGGTAGTTCTTGTAATTGAACAGTCTGTAGAGGACAGACCAGGGCAGCGGGTTGGAGGGGAATGGAGCACTGAGGAGCAAATTCACAACACAACAGGAGGCAGCATGGGCTGGCCCACATGGCCTGGGAGAAACATGGCCTTCTTCCCTCTGGCTTCACCTTGCAGCCCCTCAGGCTGCACCACCTCCAAGCGTTCCTGAAGAACAGGGGGTTGGTCCAGAAGCTGTTTCTTTCAAAATCTTTTTCTCATCCTAACATGTGCCCCTAAGCCCGAGCCTACCTTCTACAGGAGCATCATCGGCCACAACCTCCCTGTACTGAGCCGCATCGCTGATGATCTGCGTCATGTTCTGGGAGAAGGTGCCGAGGTCTCTGACTGTCCGAAGACTGAAGTGGAACCCAGGCGTGGCCATGGCCCTCAGGCTGTCCTCAGACGCCCTCTGCAATCCCACAGAGACGATCCTCACTCCGTCCTCCCGCAGGGCCCTGGCAGCCTCGTCCACGTCATCCTCAGACTCAGCCGAAGCCAGGACCACCAGGATGGGGGGAAACTGCTTCTTGTCTCTGCCGTTTGTGGGTCTGGAGAAATAGGTCCTGTGCGCCTCCCGGAGAGCGTTCCCGATGCGCAGGGAGCCCCCCAGGAAATTGAAGTTCTTCTTGAGGTGGTTGAGCATGGGGTTCCTGCTCTTGAAGGTGCTCAGCTGGAACTCGCTGTGGAGCGAGTCGCTGTACTGGGCCAGCGCCACGCGGTGCTTGCTGGGCTCAATGGGGAGGCTGTTGATCACTTTGCTGATGAAGGCTTTGATGTGAGAGGAAAACTTAGCTCCCAGGTGGTCAGAGCTGTCCACCAGAAACACGACGTCTGCATACTCAGGGCCTGAAAACCCACAAACAACCCACAAACAAACATAAACAAATCTAACACTTAAAAATTAACTACCATGTTTAATGGCAACCACATGGGAAAAACCTATTTTCCTTTTACATCTATATTTTGAATACCTTCCAATGAACTGAAAGTAACTTGAAGTTACACTTTCTCTCAAGAAATACTTGTTGATTGAGCTGATTTTTAAATATACCTTCTCATTAGAATGGAGCACAGAATTACTTGTTTATAAGAAATCAAAGAGACATAGATAAATGTAGGAAAGTAAAAATAAACTATGGGTTCTTATACCTCTAGTGGAGAATTTCTCCCCTTTTCCCTCAGAATTTGGCCTCAACTTATAAAAATTTTTCAAGGTTTATTTATTTATGCATACAAGAACTGGGGTACAGGCCACAGGTGAGGGGAGTGAGAGGATTCTCCAGAGACAGAGAGAGCAGAACAGGTGGGCTGACTGAAATACAATGCTGAGGGGAGCAGTGGAGACAGGAGAGGTCTCCTCCACCATGCGGGTCACCTCCCTGGCCGGGGATTGGAGAATGTGTGCTGCAGTGACTGCAGAGAGCTTCACAGTGCTGCACTTTAACCCCTGCACCACCAGCGAGGCCCCCTCAAGTTACACAGATTTTAACTGAGAATTAAACTGCTTGAAATGTGCTTGAATGGAAAAATCTAAAGATAGTATTTCATTGTTGAGTCTCATTTAGACAATGCAGTAAGTGGTCTGATTAACTGTAAACACACAGTAGTAGTCTTATAACTCCAAAGTGTCAAACTGATGAAGTTCAAAAACTACATTAAAATCCTAAAAGCCTGGGTGTGTCTTAATTTATTCTAAAGTTATTTATAATCTTTTTGATGAATGGTATGAGTAAGGCCTATAATTTGTAAATTTATTCTTTCATATGTGAAGTGTTATGGAAACTAGTATCATAAGCTTAGGAAAGGGAGAAAAAGAACCCTCATACTCTGGTGGGAGTGTAGATTGGTCCAGCCCTTCTCAAAGGCCAGATGGCGGTTTCTCAAATATTAATAATGGGTCTATTGCTTGATACAGCAATTCCATTCCTAGGTATCTACCCTAAGAATGCAGACACTCTATTCCAAACAAATCCCTGTAATCCTTTTGCTCACTGTAGCGCTATCCCCAACAGCCAAGCTATGGAAACAACCTCAATGACCGTGATGGGGGAGGGGATGAAGAGATGTGGTACACACACTCAAGAATACAACGCAGCTATAAAAATGTAAGCTGAATCTTGTCATTTGAAACACTGTGAGTGGGACTAGAGGAGCTGATGCTACGTGAAGTGTGCCAGAAGGAGAAAGACAAGCACTCGATGTCACTCGTAGCTGGAATATAGAGAAAAAAGACACAATGTATAACTAAAACAAACCTTAAAAATCTGACAAAAGGATTGGGCAGGGATGGATGTGTTGGATGGGGAGGGGTTCAGTGAATTTTGCTGGGGGATTGTTGGTAACAAGTCTGAAGAGGTGTGAATAGACCCCCAGATCATATAGTGTGTTGTGAACCAACTTAACCTCAATTGAAAACAAACAAAGAAAAGTGAGTGAATCACTATTTTCCTCTGAAAGAAGCTGAAACATCAGGTGAGGCCTGCCAGGATGGCAGGAAGCCATGGCCATAAGTGACCTTTCCATTCATGAATAAATCCCCACATTTGCTGTGGGGGAAGGAAGATTCAGGACTGATAAGGCTCATCATTGCATCTGCACCATGGAACACAGGGAAGAGAGCATAGCCTCTCCTTAAACTCAACAGCAGGCACAGTGAGAGATGATCAAAGACACTGGTGACAGAGTTGAGTTTCTGTTTTTAAACGACATACTTCCAAGGTCAGAGTCCTTGAGGTAGTTGTAAGAAGCCAATCTAAGTGGTCCTAGATTCAAGAATTAAGTTGTGACAGGCAGAGAAGGGAAGGCAAGTATTTTGATTTTTAGGCCATTGGACATAGACTGGTAACAGACAGAAGATAACTATGGAGGAAATTTCTCTTCAAGGCAGAAACACTTTCTTTACAATAAACAGAGTTTAAACTAGAGGAGCATCTGCTTAACCATGACACATATTAGCACCAGCAAATTAAGATATTTCAAAATTTCCAGGCCTGAACCTATTATTGAGAGACAGAATTCTCATGTAACCTCCCAGAAGACCTCAAAGGGGTTGAAAATGAGGTCAGAAGAACAGTTCTCATTACCAAGGAATAATGTACAGAAACAAATGAACTTCAAAGGCAGATTAGGCAACATTATAAAGAAATTGAGTTATCACCCCCACCTTATCAAAAGCAAAATTCTAATGTGTAACTAGGTCAAACTCATTACCTATTTTTCATATGAAAATTAAAGAACTTCCTTTTTTTTCTTTTTCTTTTTTGCTTACCGGAATCTTGGTTTGCAGAAACTTGGGAGCAAATTGTTATGAGGAACAAAATCAGCAGCATTTTCATATTATGATCTGAAAAACATCCAAGTGGAAACCTGAAAAGGCAAAATTATAAACATCTAAAACTGTTGTGGTGATTATTTGGTTGGAATCAGGACAGAAGCATAAGCACGCAAAAATTATGTAAGTGGGTACAATAGAGGACAAGGGATTCTGAGGTTCCCTCTCCTTGTAGAATTACAGAAGCTTCTATGGTCCCCAGGCCCTGTAGAAACATGACGTTTTGGATCATTAGTAGTAGACACATATATTCAAGCCCAATAATATCATGTGTTCCGAATAATCATTATTCCTGTACCCTAGTGTGACTCCTTGTCCACCCTTTGCCAAGACAACTCTGAGTATCTGGTTGACACAGTCTGTAATTTCTCCAAGAACAAGTAGATGTGTTTCATATTTGGGTAGTATTTCTAGATATGGAAAACAGTTTTTTTTTCCTTTTCCTGCATGATTAGAAAGATAATCAATTATCTTCACCCTTAATTTTAAGACAAGATGCAAAAAAAAAAATAAGCAGTGAACTTCTATTGTTCATTGATGCCTTAACACTATTTTGCTTCCAACCAAGCAGAACTTCAAATAGGGGTTTTCCAGTCTAGTGTGATCTGAAGCATTTCCCACCACCTCACACGATTCTCTTCCGTGAATGAAAGAGGATGTTAGAGATACTGAAAATTAGTATTTTAACTAGGTGGGCTGGAGTCAGTCCTCTGTGGAATAAAAAAATGAATCGATCCATATTAATAAGTAAGGACGTGTTCGCTTCTCACCCAAACATGCGTCTGCGGTGTTATATGGCCATCTCATTCTTGGCAGGCCGGCCCCTACTACTCAAAGTTCTACCCCTTTAGGAAAGGGAACTTGGCCATCAGTGATTCCAGCCCACTTCCCTCACTTATTCCATCACTCCTCTGACATTTTGGAATTGGGGTCTCGATTCATTTCCTTCAGAAGAAGTCCAAATGATACAGTTTTTGAGCTGTAGGTCAATTAATTTTTTGGCTCTTTTTTTAGAGATAATCAGTGAGTTGGAAGGAACCGGTTAATTTTCCTTACACAAATATTCTAAGGCATTGAACAGTAACAAATATCACCATTTCTTGAGCCTTTACTTTGTACCAGGTCCTATGCTAACAGGTTACTTTCATTCTGCTGTTTGATATTGATAACAAACCTAGAAGCAGGTGCTATAATCCTATCTTGCAGAAAAGGAAACAAATTCCTATCGGAAATAAGTACCTCACTGAGGTCCCATTAGTAAAATGGGCCACAGCTGAGACAGTCTACATATTTCACTCTAAAATCTCCATTTTCTAACACTTACCCTAAATCTTGAACAATATTTTGAACACAAAATGTGTCTCCAGATTTCCTTGTTTAATGGGTTTTTCCCAAGTATAAGAGATATTGGTATTTGTTTTCATGACTTTTTACTTTTAATTTTTAAAACCAGGGTTTGGGGCCATTCACTTTTCCTGTTTATATTACAGCTTTAAAAATAAGTGCTGTCTTGAGGAGCTTTGCGTGATAAAGAGAAGATGCTTCGGGAAGACGGTAGCCATCACTGTCAACAGTTTCAGAAGTCAAGATGGATGAAGATGGTACTGGCGGAAAGCTAAATACCTGGTAGGACACTGGGGATTAGGCAAGGGCACAGCATCTGGAAATTTCCCAATGCAGATGGTCATTACTGCCAGTACATTAAATGAGTTGTTTTTGGGGTTAATGTCTTGTGGAGCAATTTTCTTTCAATCTCTGAACAGAATCCCAAATTGTTGGTGCCATACAATGCACCATGGGGAAGCCCAAAGAAAATTTTTTTTGAAGTGCTGATGTGCCCTGGCTTGTGTGGCATGGGGTGGAGGGTATGTGTTAGGACTAAACCTCTAAGGTCATGGTAGTCTTGGGTTTATTTCACCGCATCAAAACATGGATGAAGTTCCTAAAATCTGTATGTTGACTAGACATGGCCAGGGTTTACATTACTTAACATTTAAAAAATATATCAGCATTAAATCTAAGCTTTTGGAAGAGGGGAGAATCAAAGAGATATTTAAAATAACAAATAAAATTTAAATTCACGGTGCTCTCCATCTTAATTTAACAGCAGTGAGATTGATTGCCTGTCATTATAGAAGCACTCATAGATACAGGTTTCTAATCTGAATTTTGTTGCACTCTATTCATTCATCAAGAAAGTTGAAACTAATATACCTCTTTTGGATGTTATACTCTATAAAAAGGCTTTTGCGAAATCGATCTCTATAAACTTTCTGTTTAAAGGGTAGAATGTTTCTAATTTCAACAACAGCTGCAAAAGCTGCACAGCTACCCAACCCTTGGCTTAAAATCCAGAATATTTAGAACTTGTGCAACACCCCTCTAGGGGTTATTATGAACTAGAGGCTTCAGGAAGGCTTCTACCCCATGTCAGCCAATTCATAATCTAAGACATGTCTTTGACAAAAAATATTAAGAATCTAGAAGAATATAAAAGTGATTTAAACAGAATTAAGATAAATACCATTATTTCCTTTAGGATGAGTGTGCAGGGTATGTCATTTCTATGCACTGATTTTTTTTTTTTTTTCAGAAAAAATAATGATGTCAGTCAGCTGTTACAGTGTAAGGAACACAGAGTCTGTGCGACAGTCCAAGAACTGTGGTTTGCTTATTTAACCCAACCTCTTCACTATTTCCCCTCCTCAGGCTGTTCTACTTCTCAGAATCCAAAAGGTAGGAAGAAAAATTCAAAGTGAGACTTAAAAAAATGGAAATCCCATATGATTCAGCAATACCTATGCTGGGTATTTACCCAAAGCTCTAATACAAAGAAATATACACCCTCCCAGGTTCACAGCAGCACTGTTCACAATCACCAAGTCCTGGAGTCAACCTAGGTGCTCACTGTCACACAGCTGGGTAAAGAAATTGTGGGATAGGCACTCAATGGAATACTATTCAGACATTGAAAAGGTGAAATAGTGGCCCTCCCTGGTGGCACAGCGGGTTAAAGCACTGCACTAAGAAGCTAAAGCCACTGCAGCATGAGTTCGATCCCCGCCTGCCCCAGAGGTAACCACATGGCGCGACAGACCGCTCCTGACCCGCCCGCTGCTCCCCTCAGCAGTATACTTCGTCGATCTGCCTGTTCTGCTCCCCACTCTGTCTTTGGTGAATCCTCTCACCCACCACACCTCTGGCCTGTACCCCAGTTCTGTATGCATAAATAAATAAATCTTTAAAAAAAAAAAGGTGAAATAGTGCCTTTTGGGACAAACTGAATGGACCTTGAAATGATTCTGCTCAGTGAAATAAATCAGAAAGTCAAAGAGATATCAAATGGTTTCACTTATCTGTGGAATATAAACCAAAAAACATGTCCTCACAAAGAACAGTAAAAGCATTTCTTAGACTTAGTGAAGAATATACTGGTTAGCAGAGGGAGCGGGGGGAGGGGAGGGAAAAAGGGGGAAAGGGCACCAGGGAAGGAGCGGGACAGGGCATTGGCACGGAGAATAGTGGAGGGTCCATGAAGCAGCTGCTCCTATGAAAGAGTGAAATGTACCCCCAAAGTTGCCCAGACATATAAATGACTGACAGTAATGATAACAACAAGAAAGTCACTGTGGCAGGATAAATCCTTGGCATACAATACACACAATAATATCTAAGCATTGATGGTAAGTAAAGCAAAACTCACAAGCACCCTCAGGCACACACATTTTACTCTCCTCCAATTCTATTTTCTGGAATCAGACTATTTGATAATCGTATTTGAATGAGGCCATGCAGGTGACCTTGCTTCCTGAAAAGATGAGCACTATTTGCATCAAAAACTGCCTGACTCGGGCTCTCCCCGGTGGCACAATGGGTTAGGATGCAGCACTGCAAGCTGGCCTTAGTCTCTTCAGTACGAGTTTGATCCCCAGCCCAGGAGGTGACCCACATGGCGCAGCAGACCTCTCCTGACTCACCTGCTGCTTCCCTCAATAGTGTATTTCATCTATCTGCCTGTTTTGCTCCCATCTCTGTCTCTGGTGAGTCCTCTCCCTGCCCCTGCACCTCTGGCTTGTACCTCAGTTCTGTATGCATAAATAAATAAATCTTAAAAAAAAAAAAAAAAAAACCCTGTGGAAAGGGCACAGATTACAGCCTGGTGACTGGGTTCCACTATCTTCCTAACAGTCCCTAAACTGCTATGTGATCTTACACTCCAGCGCCTCATTCTGTAGGTCCCTAATCTGAAGCACAATGGCTTATCCGCTCTCTGGATCTGAGCAGCTGCACACATTAAAAGATCTAACAAGCACCACTCGAAGACAAATATGAATTAAGCCAAGAGCACATCAAAATACTGATACACTGTGACACTTATTTGGAAAACTGTCCCAAGTAGGGAACTGCCGCTTCCACACACATACACACCCCCAACCTGTGCAGTCTTCTGCTAGAGGGGGCCCCACTAGCAAGAGGAAGAGCATGTCACACTCCTTTCTGGGCCAAATTATGTTGGAAATCTTCAGGATTCAACTACATGAACATAATGGGGCTGAATTTCAAGAAAGCACACCCAGTAGCAATGAAGTGTTCAATGTAGGCCTTACAAAAGGTAGACATCCAAAAGAAATAGAGATGCTAAAAATGTGTAGAAATCAGCAAACTAATAAGTAAAGATAAAGTGAAGCTTTAAAATATGAACCTCGTGTTCCTCAAACTGCTAAACATGGAGCTTCCCTATGACCCAGCAATCCCACTCCTAGGTATCTACCCAAAAGACACAAAAAACACTGATTGAAAAAGATACCTGTACCCCCATGTTTATTGCTGCTTTATTTACAATTGGAAAAACATGGAAGCAGCCCAAATGCCCAAAAGTAGATGACTGGATTAGAAAGATGTGGTACATATATACAATGGAATATTACTCAGCAACCAAAAAAGAGAAACACATGTCTTTTGCAGCAACTTGGATGGAGCTAAGTGAGATAAGCCAGA